CTTAATAACTGTTTCGACTTTCGAAGAAAGTTCGAAATATTTATGCATGGGTTTTTTTTTCAGTCAGTTTTCGATTTGTTAACCAAGCGTTTTTGACTGAAAATTTTTAACATCTGAAAGATATTATTGTCTGAGCTCAATTTTCAATTTTTTAAAATATATTTTACCTGTGATTGAATTTAGAAAAGTTATGGGGGTGCAAATTGCTACTTTGACCAGTTTGAGATAATTAAAATGCGATATATTGCGTACTTATAACAACCATTATAACGTTAGGAAGTATTTTAATGCGTTCCAAATTCAACTGAGGCCAGAAATTTAATACTATTCTCTCAAAGAAAGTCGCTAAGCACACCCTTAGTATTGTGCATAGAGTGTGGGGGAATAAAACAAAAAAAATGAAAAAAAAATTGTTTTCTCAATTGTTTTTTTTTAATTATTCATAAGAAAAAACTTTTCAATTGGACTTAAATGTACTCGGAACATTCGGGGCTATGTCCTAAAATACAGGGGTGGATTTAGGGGGGGGGGCGGAGGCCATCTCTCCTTTAGGGATTCAACGCCATGCCGACCCAAAGGGCACCCATTTGTACTATTTTGAGATATTCTGTAAAAAAAACTTAGGGGGAAGCGCGCACGGAAAAAAAAATTTTTTATAATTTTTGTGCGGAGCAGAAAGTTTTGTCAGAAAAGGGGTTTTTATAAAGATTTTGGATGGCTCAGAAAATCAATTTGGTCGACCTAAAATTGCCGACAAAAATTTTGAAAATTCGCTGATCTCTCCCCCCTCGCCATTCGAGAAAACCTCCGTACTGCTGCCCTGTTAGCCTTTAATTTCTAATATACTTTAATCATCTAAAAAATATCGATACTCTGAGTACAAATTTTTAGGAATTTCCTACATAACTTTTCACAAATATAAATGATTTCTATTTTCGAGACTCATCCGGTCTATTTTGGATAACAACGCCGGTGAAAACTCCATTTTTTCACAAGCCCGGAAATCCATCTTTTCAGAAGCCCGCAAGCATAACAAATTTCAAATTGAGTATGAGCACGCTAATTGATCCAATTATTGTGCTTAAAAATAAGATACAAATTAGTTTGTAAATCTTTTTGCGTGCAAATGGAAATTTTTCAATGAAACAAATTCTAATTAATTTCTTTTTTTTTCTGAGAACAGTATCTGTATTTTAAATTTGTATTTTCTTGAAATACTCTAAAGGTAAATTTTGATGTCTTAAGCTTAAAGTTTAATTAATAGTTCATCTACAGAAATTTTTTGTGAACTTTCTTGACTTAAACTGTCCTCAAGATGAAGCTCATAGTAACAGCCAGGGCGTCATAGTTATATCTTAATTCTCCTTTTGTCAATTTTTTGTTGTTGTTTTTTCAAAGGAAACAAATCCATCCAATGTACTTTGAACAAAAACGAAGAGTTGCGTCGCCTTCGTTAATTTGGTCTTCTTTTCTTTGCTTTGGCACTGGTTGCATTTACTTGAGAAACAGACACGCCCAAAGCAACGACGAATTTAGATTTCCAAAGAGTTTCGGCAACCAGCCTCTTTGTTTTGCTGACCATTTCTGACTTTCTTGGTTCATTGAAAAGAAACACTTGCATTTGCAGATTTCATTTTGTCGCTGTTTGCAATTAGGCTAAAAAATTGCTGCAAAGTTTTGCTTGACTTTCTTTTGTTTAATTTTCGAACTGAATTAATTAGCGGCGGCACCCAAAAGATGTGTAATGACCGCCCAATTTAAAAAAGGACAAAAAATGCTCGTACCAATGGTGTGCGGACCTATTTTTGGAGAATTTTAATGAGCATTTCATGTCAGTCAATCGTTTTGCATTTTGAGATGCATTTTACAAATGATATCAGCTTCTATGCTAGTTGATTAAAGATAAAATGGCAGAAAAACTTGCATGTAATTTTGAGGAATGTGTTGTTTCATTAATTTATGATATTTGCAGATCTATCAATTTTCTTTCATCTATCAGTTTAGCGAGAAAACGATGTTCTTTTTTGTCGCAGGATCAGCATCATTTGTTTAATTTTCGAGCTAATTTTATCCAAAACATTCGCTCTCAAAAACAGGGTTTGTTCGTATTTTTGTTCCTAAAACTCAATTGAAATATGACATAAGTCTTTATGACAAAAAACCCTGGTTGCGAAATGTTTTAAAAAACTATTTAAAAAAACGCTATAAGGGGACAACTGCATTCTTGTTCTCGTAAAACCATGGTACTTTTTTGCTGTTCAGGACTGTATCAAACGAAGGGCTTTCGAAATATAAGCAAGTTTTGTTCCTATAAATTTTTTCTGGGTTTTATCTTTGTTATTTTCAAAGCTTTCAAGATATCTCAGTCTGGCATAATGCACTAAAACAAAAATTGTTTAAAAAAATTATCACATGAAGTTCAAAGTTTTGCAAGCATAACCGAGTCAATTAAAAAATTTTGAGGGTGTTTTTAGTAATCTATAATCCTTAAAAAGTTTAAGGATATTAAAAAAAAAAGTAGGTCGACAATTTGTAACAGGCAACAATTCGGAACGAGCCAGTTGCAAGTAGAATAGGCTTGCTCCGCTGCGCTTACATCCGGCACAAGAGGAATACTGCGCCTGAATTAGTGTTCCCCGCTTAATCTACTGTTAGGAATTGTCACTTGTTACGAATTGTCGCCTGTTACAAATGGTCGCATCTGTTACGAATTGAGGCCTGCTACAAATTGTCGCAACTTTTTACGAATTGACACCTGCTACAAATTGTCGCATCTGTTACGAATTGTCGCCTGTTACAAACTGTCGCATCTGTTACGAATTGACGCCTGCTACAAAGTGTCGCATCTGTTACGAATTGTCGTCTGTTACAAATTGTCGCATCTGTTACGAATTGACGCCTGCTACAAATTGTCGTATCATGAATAAAAAGAAATTAAACTTCGAGGAATTTGAACATTTGATCATTGATGATTTTTTTTGATTGGCTAGGTTCCACTTTTTATTCCTTAACTTCAATTAAAAAATGACTCTTGGACGAAAAAACTTGGGTGAACCGCTTCAAAAAATAATACCCAGACTTGATAAGGAAGACATTACATCCAGCACTTCAAGACTTCAACAAAGAAAAGCAATTCAAAACAAAAAGAGATTTGTATCCTTGAGGGTTTTTTCTGGATTACTAAAAAATTCAATCTAATTTGATTTGTTAAAAAAATTAGCGTGAGAAATTTAGAGTATTTCATGGCACAACCATTTCAGATAAAACGCAGATGAGAGTTTTTCAAGGAATTTTGATTTTGACGAATTTTAGAAAATATTTGAAGTAAGCAATCGAAAAATGTATTTCTGCGAACAGGCCAGCGTTGGTGAAGTCGTTAAGCCTCCACATTTTAACAGAAAAGTCAGATTTTCGAGGCCCGGTGTTTTTCGTGAGCGTTTTTTGAGGGTGAGGCAATAGTACACAGCCCAGGACAATAACCAAAAAAATAGCATGCAGTGCTTAAGCAGGACCACGCAGCAGCGGTGCTCCGTCATGAGCCAAACAGCTCGTATGTTGGTCTTTGCTCTTGTGGATAAATCGTTCCAAACTTGAAATTTGGAGAACTGACGAGCTACAATTGATAAAATGATCGGTCAATAGAAAACCAATATTGGAAAAAAAAATAAGGTGAATTAACTGCTTTTAACTGCTCCTGGTTTTAATTGTTAATTGAAATTGAGTATATAAAAATTGTTATGTACTCAGAGTTTTCTTCGAGTACCTGAAACCTCGTTGAAATGGTACGTTGACAACTCATCAGGCTACAGCACCAATATGTTTTAGTACAAATTTAATTAAATTGGGTTAAATTGTTAACACTGTATATATCTCGTTTTATGTAACACATTTTAAATATCATACATACTCAGCAGGGCGACTCAATTTATAAATTTTATGTTTTTGTATTACTTTTGTGAGTTTTTGTGAGTACTTGCGGTTAAATTCAATTCATACGATAGATATGGTTATGAGGTTGACCGACCCTTTTGACTTGACATAAGGTAATATTTAACCTCAACTAACTAAAAAATGACCCAAGGAACTAAAAATTCAAAATGTCAGGACATTTTTGGTCTAAGCTCAAAAAAAACGACTTTTAGAATATTAAAGATATAGAGATAATTTTTTAAAATATAATTCATATGTCCATCTGTTTTCCTTAAATTCTCGCAGTCATAATTGAAAACTTGGATGAATCCTTTTATCTAAAATCGATCCGAAAAATATCAATTCATCAAATTACCTTAAAAACTCAACTCTCTCAATCATAAAGGAAAAATTGAACAAAATGGAATTTTTTACCACGTCTGTCCAAATACCTAATGAGTCCTCTTTGAACTTTATTGATCTCTTTGGCGCTTGGACAATCAATTTGATTTTGATTTTTTAATTTGGCATGCAATATCTTGCGCAGGGGCAGATTTAGTTGCCAGGTAATACCCTCTCTACACAAAGATTCAAATTCCTTGATATCAAAAATGCACCCTTTTTTATACTTTTTTACGACCGATTCTTTTTTCGGACGACATATTCTAAAAACTTCTAGAAGGCACCTATAGAGCCAATATGTCCTAACTTTAAGCGGGCACCAAAACGAGGCCAAAAACGGCAAAAAGTCTTCGAAAAGAGGACAAGAACGGCAATTTTAGCTTGTTGTCACAAGTTTTGAAGGTACAGATCATTTTAGCAAAATGGGGTTTTGTAGTATTTCGGGTGAGCACACAATTTCAATTTAATAGGCCTAAAAATAGCTTGACAACTTATACGTTTTTAATACCTCCTCCTGAAAAAAATCTTAGATCCACCCCTGGTTTTGTGAAAAAAATGAGCAAAAATTCTTGCGTTTCATCTTTCGTTGATTCAAGCAAGCAAAAATATAATAAAGGTAAAATCTATTTTTTTTTGTCTGGATTTCTTGGTCTTTCTGCTCTGGATTTCATATTCTTTGTTGTGTGCAGTGTACATGCATGACGAGTACATCACTCTCCCCTCTGAGGTGGAAGCAGTCACTGGGGTGGACGATGACGTCACTATCCGGTGTCGCTTCGGGGGCTTCCAGCCGCCCCGGCCAGAGAACAGCCACATGTGGAGCATCAGCTGGACCAAGCTGGGACGCGACTTCTCCCTCCTCACGAACTTCGCCGGGCAGATATTCAGCAAAAATGAGGACAGCAAGGTGACAATAAAATAAACTTAGCTGCAAAAGGCAGTTGGAAAAATGTCAAATAAATCAAAGAAATTTTTAAAATTCAAATTTTGAGTTTGATGAAAAAAAAATCCATCGCATTAAATGTCTTTGAATGGAAAACTTTGACATGGCTGACACGTTTCCATTCAAACTAACCAAAGAAGAAAAATCTGGATCAGTAGTTTTTATTAATTCACAGCAAAATATAAACGTTAAGACTTAAAACCAAGAGGTCTTTATCGCGCCGCTTACACTTTTGTTTCAGGCGAGCATAATTTGAACTCATGTTAGAAAATTAAATAAATTGAATTTTTGGTAGAATCATAATAACAAAACAAACTATTTGCGCTCAGATGGTTTTTTCTCCAGACCGTTTTCGACTAAATGCAACAACCAATTTTTCACAAAATTTTTAAAAGAGTCTGTAATATGTTCTGTGATCGCTTTGCACAAAAGCATAAGGATTGAAATCTGCCAATTTTGCCAATTTGAGACATTTAATCTGCGCTATATTTATCATTTTTCTTTCAGCGGGTAGCCAAATCGGCAATTTAGGCCTGATGAAAACTTTTAATAAATTGAATTGAAGCAACCTAGTCGTTCCAAATATGCGGTAGTGTTACAAACCAGAAAAAACTGCACAGATCAGGCAAAACCTGAAGACTCCGACACTACTATTAGATGTCTTAGCTATTTTTGGAGGAACTATTGATACCAGTGCTGTGGAAAAAAAACCAAAACCATAAAGCTTTTTGCTCTATATATTAGTGATAAATTTTCGCCTCTGTTGATACATAGTAAAAACCGGTACATTGAAATTCTTGGAAAAATCTCACCAAACATGAATACTTATTCGAACATTTGAACAAAAAGTTCATTTAACTTGACATTGCGCCATGAGTGATAATTTTGTGCAAAAAATGAAGTTTTGTTTAACACCTAAAATTTTGAAAGGTAGGACAGATATAGTTCTTTGTACTTGGCATTCAGTGTTGTATAATAATTATGTGCAAAAAAATCTCGGAGATTTCAAGTTTTGTCAATTATCAGCAAAAAACTGTTTCAGACACACTAGAGGGCGATTGGATATTTTCGAGGCTCCGAGCTGATACAATCAATCTTGCATTTTTGGGAAGAAGCGAGATAGCTTCTAATTTGTCTATGTTTGCTTTCTCAAAAAAGAAACTTTCATTCGAGCAGATTTTTTCAGCTGGGAAAAGCTGTCTGATAAAACTTTAGTTACTTCTTTGAAGAGTATCTTGATTTTGCCATAGCCCCAAAAAACCCAAAAATCACAAAATTTGAGGAGAATGATTTGGTTTTTAAGAAGATTAAGAGCAAAAATTGCAGCGCTATATGCAATACGCAATCTTTTCTGAAATTGTATGCAAAATGACGCAAGAATCTCCTCACAAAAAGTAAAAATTAGATAACCAAGCAAGTGTGTCTTCTAAAAAAGACCAAACCCACTCTTGAACCTAGTATAAATGCTGCCATACTGAATTGCGTATATTGCCTATTCTATCAAAAAAGATAGGTAGTAAACGTTGATTCAAACAACATAGACACGGGGTTGTCAGTGACAACGTTTCTCCTATGCAATATTCCGGGAAATTGTCTTGGAGTAAGGTAGTTTTTTTACCAAAAGAAACTGTTGTCGCACAAGAAGTAAGGCAAATAACTACTCCATTAAGAAATATTGGAGGGTGGCAATGAGTAAGTATCTTGCTATTAGCAAAAAACGCCGTCTCAACTTCTTGCTTTAAAAAGATCATGTTCCGACAACTGATCACGTCCGAAGTTTCTGCGAAGAAATACTCAGTGAGGGTTGAAGAAAATAAGAGAAAGTGTTCATCGAAGATAATATTTTTTTGACTTTTTTTTATCATTTCCAAAACCGGTTACGCAAATTTATTCATAAATATAAATTTTTCAATATTTCTCATTGCAAACGAATAAGCTTATTAGCATCATTGGTGTTGGATAATGTACCCGCAATAGTTTCGCTCTCCTTGTCAAAAGCCAGAAATCAATTCAACATAATTGTTATCAATTTTATCCCCATTTTCTTTGTTTCCAATTTAGACTTTAAAAAGAGTTGCTGCAAACACCGGCAAGGTAAATGGACGATTAGGTAGTGTTTAATGACATCACTTTTAGTTGCGATGGTAGAATTTGATCGCGAAGTTCACAAGCAGCATTGTTCACGTTTCGAACTTTATTCACTCAATCACAACGAACACGAGTGAAATTACTTTTTTAAAGTATATGAAAATACTTATTCAAACATTGGAACAAAAAGTTCATTTAACTTGACATTGCGTGATGAGTGATGATTTTGTGCAATAATTGAAGTTTGCTTGATGTTCTAAAATATATTTGCGTGATGTTCTAAGTTTTTATCACTTATGCAGTTTTGTAACCAATTTATGAAAATTTTGGCTATGACTGGTCAAAGATCGAATCAATTTTTCAAAAAAAAACGACAAACAAATAGTAAGCCCTCTATTTATTAAAATGACACCTGACCATAATTGTCATAAACAAAAACAGCATCAAGACCGCACTATTGCTTCTATCTGAGCAGAAGTTTTTCAGGAGTGTGTGGCATTGAGAAAACTTGAGATAAATTTCATCATTCCAATCACATCGGCTCTTTTTAAACCCCCCCTCCAACCTCGCATGAGCATCAATTTTATGGTGTAACGAGGGGTTTTTTAAGGTTAAGTATGAACTCCAAATATGTTTTTCATTGCCTAGTTAGTCTGTATGTCAATTTTTATAACCATATCAATATGAACAAGCTTTTAATTGAGAAACTTTGCAGGCTAGGGGGGGGGGGGGGTTTGGGGAAGCTCAATCATCAAACTTCTAATGATTCAAGGTCAATTGGTGCTTGCATGATGTGATGACTCAGTTCTGTTTAGTATTCGTTTGTGAATATGTCGGATGGGAGTGGGGAGTGTTCTATGCGGATAGGCGACGTGGGGGAGGGGGACCAGGGCATCTACCAGATAGAGATCAATTACAATGTGCCCCTCAAAAAACAAGTCTACCTATATATGACAGGTGAGCAAAAAACTTCCCAGCTGGCGTATTTTTTTGAGAATTAATTTCATGAAAAAATTGAATCTGTTTGCAACTCAGAACTCTTCAATCAATCTTCATGAAATATCCCACTTGTAGTCGCAAAGTTAAGATTGATTATATTTGACACTTCTTTTTTTCGAATAAGATAATTTAAATATTTTTTACTGTGTTTATATTTTTGAATATTCGAATAAACACTAAATCCTTTTTCCCTCTAATCGTACATTGGCCGTTAAACTGTTTGTTCAAATGACCATTTTTGGCGCTTTTTGGTAACTGAAATGAAAAAGGTCATACCTTTTCGGTTTTTTTTATTATAGACACCAAACTTCCAAGCCTATAAATCAGGAAGATAATTGAATTAGGACGGGTATTTCAATTTGAAAGGAGACGGGAGTACTGTAATCATAAACGAGCCAAATGTTCAATTAAAATATAATTTTTATTTAACTATTTGCGTGTGGTCTGTCTCTCCAGATCCGGCTGGTCCGACGGGGGTGGTGGTGAACAGTACTCTAGGGGATGATGGGATGATTCTGCAGAACGAACCGACAGTCAAACTGAACTGCTTCGTGTTCGGAGCACACCCCAAGGTAAAAAATAAAAAAATAAACAAACAGAAAAATAAAAACAAAAGTTGACTATCTCACAAAGTCCTGATTTTTTAATATCAGCTGCCAATAGCATCATTATTTATCCAATTTACAGCCGAGATAATTTATAAAATTAGATTGTAATACTTTTTTTAATCTTCCCTGGTTTTTTTAAATCTGATTCTGAATTTCTCGGGCACAGAACCTCCAAACTTGTTAGCAATTAACTCGGGGATAAACTGAACTAAATATGATGATATTAAGCAGTTTGAATAATAATTTCGTGTCAGGACATTTGTGTCCCAGACATTTATGTCCCGGTAAAAACAGTCCAAAATGCAAAAAGTGTCCAAGACATTTGGTTCCCAGACAAAATTGACCCAAAATTGTCCAGGCTATTGCCACACTAGTTAATGACCGGATTAATTTGATAAGCTCTCAATAGGAAGGATTAAATCGATAAGGCCACGCAACTGAGCACTTAGACCAGAAATTATTTCGCGTACCAAATTAGAGACGAAATTAACACAGGACTCAAATCATTTACACATACCTACACAATTATATCTTGATTGATAATGTTGCCAAACGTAGACACGAGAGATCATAATTTCATTGTTATTGCTCTCGAGTTCGTGTTGACAATGGAAATTCTCATGACAAATAAAAACAACGAAATGCTAGTTTATGATGCATACGCATACTTCAAACATCGGATTCTAACAGACACCTCAATTTCGTGGCGATGTGTTTTATCGAAATGCAATGGCCGTGTGCGCACTTTCCAAGATAACGTCACTATCATAAATGAACACAGTCATTTTCCCGATCCAGCCGATATTGAAAAACGAAAATTCAGGACAGCACTCAAAACAAAAGCAGTTGTGTCAGATGAGCCACCCCGTCAAACAATTCTTTCCGTACAAAGAGACATCAACAGAGAGACTGCAGCAGTAATCCCGAGCTATTCTGCCAACCAGAGGACAATTAATAGAGTCAAACAAGAAAAAGGGCCCAGAATGCAGGAACCCCAATCCCTAACTGATTTTGAACTGCCAGAGTTGCTGAAAGTGACACACAGCGGCGAGCGTTTCCTTGATTTTGACTCTGGACCTAATGATACCAAGCGAATAATGGTTTTCACCACTCTTCCGGGCCACCATTGATTTCGAAATAGCGGTCAAAAATGCTTTCAATTCAGTATCCAAAAATGTACAATACTGTTATTTCCATTTGAGCCAAAGCGTCTGGCGTCACATTCAGACTACTGGAAACACAAACAATTACAGACTAGATCTGGAATTCCGAGAGCATGTCCGAATGCTGCTGAGTATCGCTTTCCTGCCTGTAAGTGATGTTTCTACTGCTTTCGAAACTCTTCAGAAGACATGCCCTGAGACAGCCCACCCAATCTTCAATTACTTTGAGGACAATTACGTTGGTCGGCTCTCGGCGGCAAATGGAACTCGTCAAAACCCCAGATTTGACGTTGACAGGTGGAGTTGTCATCAACGTGTAATAACCGGGCGACCCAGAACCAACAATGCTGTTGAAGGTTGGAATAGCAACTTCGTCAAACTCGTGAATGGCAAGCACCCATCAAAGGGTGCAGCAGCAACATCAAACTATAATTTAAAGTCAATTTATTTTCTAAAGTTGATATTGCGAAGCAATAATTTTCAATAAATTTTTCTAAGTTGAACTTTTTCCCAGAAAATTTCAAAATTGAGCTAGACCCGATTTGAAAACGGCAAAATGATCAATGTAATCAAGCTTTTCCCACCCTCTTCCCTTTTGGCTCAATCAAGTCAACCCATTTCATCTTTGCCCTAGTTTACCCATTTGTGGGTTTTTTAATTTCAAATATTGACTAAATTACGAAAATTTTTTGTCGAGCCCGAGATTTGAACTTCAAACCTTTTGACCTTCAAACACTAAAAAACTGACTGTAGTATAAATTTAGATTCAAGGTCTGGTCAACTTTTTTTGCAATTTTTCAACAGATAACTTGTCCTGCAACTATTTCGAAATAGATTCATTTGTCAATCGTTGTTAATTATAGCCAAAATGAATCGGTCAAAAACTATAACATTTTAAGTAAATTGGTTTTTTTGAACAAGGTTTTTACGTGTAGAAATCAGTGAAAAACAAAAATGCGACGTCTAAATTAGCAGTTTTAGGTTAATTAACTTCGGTCAGATTCGTTGAAGGAAAACTTATTGGCAACAGTTTGGCATTAACTATAGATTGCATTTCAGGTGGGGTTTGTGGTTTGGAAAAAGGACAACGACCTGTTGAATATGTCATCACTAGCTGGCAAGACGACCGATGGAGTCATTGGTCCCCACCCCTCATCTTCATCATCTTCGACCTCCCCCCGCCGCTTCATGACTGCAGCAGAAAAACAGGCAAGCGGACATCCGGATCTCTTTTTCTATACCCCCTTTCCAAAGGGGGGGAGGAGGTAGTTAAGCAGATACAAGCTTTAAACAGATCCAGTTTTAAATAGAAAATATCATCGAAGTAGTAAATGGTTATTGGATATTGTTCACTTTTTGCTCCTATGGAACTTAGTAAAGAATTGCCTCCCCTAAAAAATTCAACGCTTCCCGTATTTCTAATACACGGAAAGACGTAAAAATTTAAACTTTTGCTCAAATTCTGTTCCTCAAGGATGATTTTGAGCACAACGCTATAAATTTTCATAAGAAAAGTTTTATAACGTTTAAGTTAGGTTGGAATAAAAATTAAAAAGTGAGTAAAAATGACCATGTATAAAAAACAAAAAGTGCTCATGAGTGCCAAAAATTATTTTCAAGGCATTTTTTTCGGCTTTCTTGTACTTCGGCACGCATGAATGCCGCCCCATCCCCCCTCCCGTTGGCCTTAAAACTAAATTTTTCATCAAATAAGAGACACTATATATTTAAGACAACAAACATTTTTAAGTATGTTGTGGTAAATTTCCATCTTTTTTGGTATTCTCTGAAGCCGAACTATATTGTAAAATTACAATTTCTTAAACAGGGGCACAACAGCGGTTCGCCGTGATGAGCTGTACAGCTCTTGTGTTGTTCCTTTCCCCCGTGGATAAATGATCTCTTAATATAACGTATGATTATAAATTTCTGGCTTGAAAATGAAGTAATTATTATTGTAACTATGTGAATATGAGTCAGGGGCGCCACTTCGAGCATTTCTCCCTCACTCTGCTCAATGTGCAGTTGGATGACTCTGGTCTCTACAGCTGCGAGGCCCACAACCCCTTCGGATCTGTCAAGGGCAGCACGCGCATCAACGTCCGAAGTAGGTATCCAAAGAGTGCCACAAAGCATGCAGTTCTTAACCCGGGCCGAGGAGCTCGACTTATGTTTCGACTTTGAAAGTTAACTAAGTGCAGTTTTGCGACTGAAATTCCGCGGTCAAGAAGCAATTTTAAGTCCAGCACAAAGTCGAAACATACCCAATTTTGGTAAAATTGAGTCGAAACTACCCGATTTTGGTCAAGACGGTCGAAAAATACCAATTTTTAGTCGAAAAAGTGGAAACAAAAATCTAGCACCTGAACCCGGGAAGCAGTAGCGCATCAGCGGTTCTTCGTGCATGAAGAGCCGAACAGCTCATATGCTGGTTCTTTCCCTTGTGGCTAACTAAATCGTCTAAGAAACTAGGCAGTCCCGAAAGATTTTCGTAATTTTTTGACATTTTAAAACTTTTTCCATTTTTATATTTTTACTTTTATATTACGAGTCGAAACTGTAGTTTTGAGGTATAGTGAGCGCATTCCGCGGCAATGTTGGATAAATTTGGTCCTGCAATTTGATTTTTCAAGTTCTAAAGATCTTATTCAGCAAAAAAAAAAACGCTGAGCCGAAGGATAATTTTTGTGAAATGTGCCAAAAACACAGTTATGGGTCTCAGCTTGAATGACTAAGAAACCTTCGCGCCCTCAAACCCACTCCACCTCTGAATCCACGATTGTGACTACATCAGTGAAATTTTTTGTTAGTTTTACAAAATAAGGGTATCAAACAAGCACATTTGCTTCGTAAATTTATATTAATAACTTTGCAAGTTCATATCGTTTGGAAGCAATTTATCATTATGATTAAGATGATAAATAAAGTTACCGCCTATAAACGCCACAACCCTATAAATGCGGAAAATTATGTAGGGTTGGCTCGTATTTCTCCTTTTTCCAAAAAGAACATTTAATGACTGCAGGTTTTTATTGCAAGCCACTTTTCAGTTCTAAATGTTCAAAACTATAATCCAGAGCTACGAATTATCCTTATCTAAAGTGGGTTTAAATCGATGTCTCAATGACTAAGAGCCATACTCTTTTAAAACTTCGTCAAATGACGCCATATATGGGCCAGACTTCTGACATATGCCGACAAAAATGTCCACGAACGAAACATCTTCAACAAAATAAAGACCAATTCAAAAAATGAATGCGGTAATCTTTTTTGTTGTTTTTATTTTGTTTCTGTTGAGCTTTAGGATATCTAGGATGACTTCACTGCAAATTCATTTTATCTTTATTGATTATAATGAAATCCGATGTTAATCCAACTATTTATGGATTTAACTAGTCGCAAAGTGCTTTGAAGTTTGCCGATTCATCAACTACTAACAGAAAAGAGCAACTTTTTTTATTCAGCTGGAAATAAGCTATCCAAACAAAATTTGATTTGGAAAAGTTGCATGCGTTAAAGAATCTAGCTTTTTAGATGCATTTTCATCTTTTTTTTTTACAAATTTTGGCTTGATAAATACCTTGATTTTTCTCTTGAATTTTTTCATTTCTTTTTGATTAAATTTATTTTTTTTTGTTAAAAGGAAGGCAAACTCCCTTATCAAACAGCAAAAGTATAAAAGTCACAAAAAACGTGATCAACTTATAATTTCAAAAGTGGAATTCAATTATCAGAGTTTTAACTAATGATCCAGTTTTCTCAAATTGGGTTTGTGTAATCAAAAACGTGTCAATCAAATATTGTTCCAAAACTTCTTGTCACTTTAAGGCCATTTTTTCGGATCTACTTTACAATCTCCCCCCCCCCCCCCCCCCCCCTATTGTACCTACTAAAGAATCCCCCCCTTTCAAGAAAGGGGGAGGGAGATTGTTAAGTTGATCACTGGGGACCTACTTAAGCAATCCCCCCCCCCCCTATTGTACCTACTAAAGAATCTCCCCCTTTCTTGAAAGTGGGGGAGATTGTTAAGTAGATCCATTTTTTCAAATTCAAAAGGTAGGTTTTCTCAAAAAAGCAAATCGGTATATATTTTTTTTGTTTCCTGCGTTCATTGAATCTCTTCCAATGTCTGTTGGCTAGGTTTTAAAACTGATGTTTTTGAAATTTGAAGGTTTTGACCGCTTTTCCCAAATATTCTTTTGCACTGATTTCTTTAAACAATTTGTCTAAATTTCGATGTCCTAAAGAGTTTTTGAGAAAAATTAGTTGACAGAACAAATAATAGTCGCTAAAATGGCGCGAATACAAAAACATTCCTTCAAAGCAAGCGGAAAAAAATTACCTCGAAAACTATCAAAATCAGAAAAAACAAGGCTACTCAAAAAATTGATAAATTATTAATTATTTTTTCAACAAAAATATCGTAAGACAATGCTTTGTTTGGTTTATTTATACAGACCAATTCAGACTAAAACCATAGTTTCAACACAAAAAGTATATTCTGGTGAAGATATTGACACCTTGATTCCAGGAGTAGAAGACATTACACTTGAAATCTTTTCACTTACCAAGAAGTGTTTAAGACTTGTTATAGGGAAGTCGGAGCATTCAGGGCTTTGCTAGGTATCAGTGACAAAAAATTTTTGTGCACAAAGAATTAGAAATAAATTAGAACTACTGTTAAAATTTATGCCTAAGTCACTAACATTCTACTCGTTTGTAAAGTTCCCTCGTCAGATTAGCATAAACAACGACAAATGTTTGTAGTTTTCTAAAGAATATGGTCGGAACATTCTGTGCTACTTGCTAATTTCATATACAACTCAAGTTTTGAACTTAAATTTGATATCGGCAGTCCAAAATTTCTATTGTATCAAAAATTTGTTCTCATTAAAAACTATCCGAGAAAAGTTAAGAGACAGTCGGAACATTCAGAGATTTTCTTTATTATTAGAGCTGTCGTGTTATCTTGATTGAGCAATTTTCAGCCCATAGCCATACAAAAAAAATTCAGCAGAATTGAATGTATTTAGCGCAGGATAAGCCAGCAACTTTTTAGATATTCGAAGTACAAATTCGGACAAAAGTAATTACAGAGAACAAAAATCCGACACTTTTCGAAAACGATAGTGAAAACATTTAACCAGCAGTCATTTTCGCGAAGGAAGTGGGCTTCGAAGTTGCCGAACTAGGATGCCAATTGCGCTCATTTTTTCCACTTTTCTATTCACGGGTAGATTGCAATCTAAAATGGCTCAAAAACAATTTCTAATAATTTTTAGACAGGTTTTTTATGCGTTAGTTGTTGAAAACTTTGTCACTATTGCTTTTGGGCCATCTTTAGCAATCAATAGATAATTTTCATCTATTTAATATAATATAAATAGAAACTGAATATATTTATGCCAGTAATGATTTTTTGTTTCCATATTAAGAAGAAAATTTTAATATAATTGGTCAATTTGTTGTCTTATTTTGCATGCTCAAGTTGATCACTGCATGCTCAAGTTGATCACATGCTCAATGCGAAAAAAATGAAACTCAATTGCGTAGTGGTTTTACGTCCACGCTTTTGTAGCTTCATGTCCAAGGTATGAACATAATGAATATCGGTTTTAAAAGTCTAGTCGCGCCGTCTCTGCACCTTGATTGCGAAAGTTGAGGCTTATGTTTTCGTTCTCGAAAAACTGGTCATAGAAAAATTTTGCTGGCTAAACTCTGGACATGCCAAAAATTTATTGCAAAAGTCCGGACATAAAACCAGGGTAATAACAGCCAAAGCGACAGTGCTAGTTTATTCATGAATCGTGTTTGCTGCCGAGGATGAAGTGACGAGGATGAAATTTTTCATGATTGCCTAGAAAATAAATTTCTGCCGGAATTATAAATAGAAGGCTTTTCTTGAGTCTTTTGAGCTACATTTTTGTATAAGCAAAGGGTATTGGCAGTAACAACCCGAAATCCTGAAAACCTTGGGAACAATATCCTGGCTAAAAAATGGCATGTTTTTTGTTTCAGGCCAGCCGAACATTGAGTTCAAAGTGGTCCCCTCCCCCTACGCCAAGGTGGGGGAGCGGAGGGTGCTCCAGTGCAGCGACAGCCACGCCTCCTTCCCGGAACCCACTCTGCAAATAGAGCAGCAGTGGGACAGCAAGATGCTGGCCAAATCCAGGGGCCACTTGACCGCTTTTGTCATTGGAAGGGTGGGTCGGGATCAAGCGGGAGTGTACGAGTGCAAAGCGGAGAATGAGGAGGGAAAAGTGATGGCTGTCACTCAGCTTTTCGTCCAGTGTCAGTCTTTTTATTTTACCCGATTTAGTTTAAAAAACACTCGAGAATTTTTTTTATCTGTATAAATTTGTTGTGGACCAATGAGTTGCAGCAAATTTTTTTAAGAGTTGTATGTGTTTTTTTTTGCATTCTTCTTAGATTGAAAAGGCTTTGAGATAATCTATAGAAATTAATCTGGGCGCAAAAAAAACAAATAATAGAATGGTCAAAAGTAGAATTGTCCTGCCATCGTTATTTTAAAATAAAATTCTGAGGATTTCTTTATTTGATTCACTTAGAACTAACTTGATAAATATATGACTCTGTTTAAGCTGTTGTTCAAAGTCAAACCCAACAAATTGCTTCTTCTCTATTTTGAGTTTGTTGCTAAATTTTCCTTGTAGACCTGGACATGTATCTGTTGGTTCCTGCGATTGGACAGCCCAATGGATCCCTTCTAGTAGCCCAGGATGACCTCCTGTTTGTCAGCTGTGTCGTCAAGTCATCCCCCCGCGCACACATCTCCTGGATCAGAAAAGATAACCCCAGTAAGATCTATATTGCCCGAATATGGCAACCCATTATACTGAGAAATCGAAAACTTTTGTTGAACTTGAATTTTTCACTGAGTTTGCTAGTCCTAGCAAATAGGTAAATTTTCAGTTTTGTCGAGAAGCTGGCAAATATTCAAAATTGAAAAGTTGACTAACATTCTCACATTGCTCACAAAAAAAGTTTTTCTCGATTTTTTCAATGCACCTGTTGCATGAAATTTATGCCATTTGGGAAACTTTTCTTTTTATGCCATTTGGGAATTATGCCATTTGAGACGTAATCATTTTGAACTATTCAAAGTTACAAATTGAGTTGGTTGATGAGTTTTGTGATTTTTTTGGTCAGCCTGTTATAGTTCTTTCGAATAGTCGCTTGTTGGTGTCGTGAACAAAAAACATTTTCATTCGCTCCGCCTTTTGATGAAATATCGGTTTGATTATCAAGTTATGAGTTTTAATGATTACTTCAGTCTATGTCTATCAGAGTAGATGAGTTTTTGTATTAGGTAAGATTCTGGCTGAGACGGACGGGGCCTCTGAGCTGGCTCTGAAAGTGCAGCCGGTCACCAAGAAGGACGTGGGGGTCTACAGGTGCACGGCCAAAGTCACCTTCCACGACAAGTCAGCGGAGTTCCGATTCAGAGACGTCCGCATATCAGTCATAAGTTAGTATGAAAGTTATTTCCGACTCTAGAAATCTTAAATCACTGGGCAAAAAACATAACAACGTCGTAAATAGAGTATAAATCACTGTTTTGGATCTTTCAGGAGATGCAAAAAAACGAATTCTGATAGTTTTGGCTGAAACATATTTTTGGCTGAAACGTAAAGAGTGAATATCGTGGTACACACCCTGGTTTTTAAAAATCCTTTTAAAAATTTTGAAAGCTAGTAAGTATTAGGAATTGAGGCGGGGTTGATTTGTGACATGATGATTACGTCACAATAGTTTATTCTATCAATCACGAAGAAATCTGTTCGAAAATTAATTTTGTCGGTTTTTTGTAAAACCTGCTTAGCATCCGGCTTCTCTTGTTCTATATTCATTACTGTCAGTAGCGGATTTCGACCCCCTGCCGACCCAAAGGGTCCCGTTTGCACTAATTTGAGATATCTATTTTTGGTGAGATACCCTAAAATTTTTATAAAGGCGCCTTTGGCGCCAATAAATACTAATTTGTGAGGGGGGCGCGCGCGCCGAAAAAATGCATTTTTTTTATCAACATTTTTCAAAAAGTGCCTAAAATGCCTTTTTTTGGTCTGTTTTTCCAAAATTTTGCCTCCGGCGCAGAAACTTTGATCAAAACAAGGTTTTTTTAATGCTTTGAGAGAGCTCGGATAATCAATTTGGTCGACCTAAAAAAAAGTCGACAAAATTTTCGATTTTTTTTTTGAAAACCGGCCCCCCTCGAGAAAATATTAGATCCGCCCCTGATTACTGTATTATAATAGGTATCATAATATTGATACTAGGTTACTCATATATACTGCGATTATATCTTCAGTGCAATTTGTTTCAGGAGCTGCTCGTATTCTGCGAATAGTGCCCACACCCGACAAAGAGAGCGTGATCACTTTCAACGAAGACGAGACTGCGAGAGTGCAGTGTGTGTTCTCGGATGGATACCCCCCTAGCAAGGCCCAGTGGCTACTCAAGGGGGACCCAGTACCCACTGTCACAAGATCCACCTCGACTAAGGCTAAAGAAACACAGGTGGAGTTCTGATTTTCAGCTTAAATTAAAAAAAACATATTTAGACCAATTTTTTTAGAGATTCAGGTGGTATTCATAGCGTGAATATGTAATAATCAAAAGAGCTGTAAATTCACACCAAAATTAATGAAAACGTAACAAAGTGGACACAAAATTAATTGGCTTCTAAATCAAAAAGGCAACCCAAAAAAAGATAATTTTATCCAGATGAGCGGTGGAATCCATTGAAAATTTACATAATAACTTAAAATTATATAAAACTAAATTAATAATATTAAATTGAAAATTGAATGCAAGAATGGTTCAACGGGCCTTTTAGATAAGTAACATCACAATCATATATAAGTCAGTCTATCGAATCAACGTCGAAGAAAAATTGAATAGGCTTAGTTTTTATCTGAAACAACAACACATTTTTGTGTGTGCAGTTCCCAAAAAACTTTTGTAGTTCAAATCAGAGGCGGATTTGGAGGGGGCGCTTCCTCTCTAGGATTCGACCCCCTGCCGACTCAAAGCGTTGTCAAAGTTTTCAAAAAAGTGCCTAAAACGCCTTGGGATCTACTTAACAATCCCCCCTTCAAGAAAGGGGGGAGATTCTTTAGTAGGTACAATGGGGGGGGGGGGGGGGGTTGTTAAGTAGATCCACGCCTTGTTTAGCCCTTTTTTTTCAAAAATTCGCCAGCGGCGCAGAAAATTTGGTCGAAATACGGTCTTTATAGTGATTTGGTTAGAGCTCAGAAATTTAAATTGTGAAATTGGTCGACCTAAAAAAAAAGTAGACAAAATTTTCAATTTCTTTTAAATCCGCCCTTTTCCCCTCGAGAAAATATTAGATCCGCCTCTAAATAAATGATCACACTATGTGCGTATGTTTAGGGCGAGACGAAAGAGGGTGAGGGCGAGGAGGTTGTACATGTGCTCACACTCATTCTGCAGAAGTTAAGGCCAGAGGATTCTGGTCGCTACATCTGCGAAGTGACCAACAGTGAGAGCCCCGCCTCAGTGCGCCAGGTGGACGTGGCCGTGAAAAGTGAGTAGTATGAGAGAATTACGGATCTACTTAAGAATTGCCACCCCTACAGTAAATTAGCGCTAGAGCTTTGTATTGAGGCTTCCAATTTTGCTGCAATCTGATCGAAAATGCGTTATATTAACCTACTTAACAATTGCCCCCCCCCCTTTTTCTTAAAAAAAGGGGGGAGGGGGGTAATTGTACTACTCTTCAAAATTTCACTGGAGAAAAGTTTAAAGATTGCTCCATGAAACCAGATTTGTTTCGAAAGGCCGCTCAGTTATAGTTTTGGGCTCTTAAATTTCGAGATTTTTACAGTGTTCCAACATTTCTAGTTATTATTTCATTTTGATCAAACAAGAAATCACTGCGAAATCTAAACCAAAACAAAGACAACCGGTTGCTCTGAAAGCAACAGAGAACGATCCCATAACAATTTGCAAATTGTTATGTTTTTTGTGTTCACTAGGCTTGACATTTGCCGAGATTTAAAGGACAAAACTTGGTTGTTCGTAATATTGAATTGCTTGATTAGTTGTTTGATTCTTGGTTTCAATTTAGATAGTTGTTAGTCAAGCTCTGACTAAATGGAACAGTTATTAAAAGGTTTGAATAAATTTACATCTAGCAAACGATGTGTCTAAACATAAGAGTGATCACACGCAGTGTGTCACTCGATAAGGCCAAACCGGTGACCTTGAACCAACTGGTATATAAATCAGCTGCATGGCTGCAAAAGACAATGAATTAAATGAGGTACCAAAAGTCGCCTCATCACATTCCCCGCGGAAGGGAAAATTTTTTTGAAACACCCAAAAGATTTTTTAATAAACAATTTGCACCCATATAGCATTATATAGATAGCGACCCTATCCCGCAAAAATGCATGGTGATGAAATAATAATTACATAAAGAAGATTTGTAAAAGTTTTGACAGTGATATCTCAACAACAATCAATTTCCGTCTTGAGTTTTATCAAATGAGGAGGAGAATAGTGCCTCCGGCGAAGCCAGGTGAGAACGGTCCCGAATAAGTGGCCGCCGTTTAGGTGACTGCGATGACGGTAAAACACTCTGAGAGGGTGAGTCGCCAGCCTCTTCCTCCAGTAACGTGTCTTCTTCCACCGTTTTGACGGAGTGTCGTAACGGGTCACCGAAGAATTTCGTAGCCTTCTTACTACGAGATGAGGTCCTTATAGCCTCCGAATCATCCACTACAGGTTGAGCTGGGAGAGAAAGAGATGGATACGACGAATATGATTCTTTATATGCACTTTGTGCGGGTAGAACTGGACCCTCAGGAACGACGTTGTCAGGTGAAAGATGCTGTGAAACTGCAATCGTGGCTGCAGGGTCAACGGACTGAGTGAAGAGGGCGGTAAAGAGACAAGAGTATTCATTGGAGACTGACCCAGAGTGAGAGAGGAGTCACCACTCGTGACTGGCAGTAAATCATCATGTAACGCGGTCGCTTCTCCATTGGGGTAGATTCCCGAATCACCTGCAAAATGTTCTGGCCAGAGGGACCCTCATTAGACGAATCATTAGTAAGATCCACCACCATCGGTTGTGACACTCTTATGTCATCTGGACGCTTCTCAAGCAGTGTCGGATCAGACGAACGGGTAACTGGCTTTTTCCCCCCACTTCGTGGAGATGGTCCTGATGTTTGGAGGCGATCACCTAGTGTGCTGGGGGTTGCTGAAAAGTTATTACTGAAATTAGGCTTAAGACAAACATGGTTTTTCCGATAAATTTTTCCCTTGTCCGTAACATAAGTGTGATCGGTGATGCGAGTAATTTTGAATTTCGCAAGCTTAAAAAAAGGTTTGCCAGACTGACGGTCTATAACTTTCCGAAACACTCTCACGCGGCTAGGATCGGATAAAAGAAGAGTTTCCAATTTACTTGTTTTGGACTGTCGACGGGGTTGTAGAGTCGGTAAACGACGAACATTATCCTGAGCCCCTGGAGGCGTAGTAGTTCAGCGATCTTCAGCAAAGCAAAGTGTTTTGCGAGATAGGCCTGTTTTTAGTGAATGAGCCAAATCGGAATGGCGACTCGACCACTCTTGAAGAACCCGCTTTCCTCCATCCGGCGGAAGGTTTCTCTTATGCTGTGTCCAATTGTTAGCCGCCCGAGCAAGATCCGCTAGCGCTTTGTAAGGCTCACTCTCAGCAATATTCCCCTCCAATGAGAACATGGGGTTGAAACGCGGGGTAATCTGAGGACTGAGGCTGCCTCTTGGCACCACCTAGGCGCGATCACGACTGTAGTCCTGGCTAGCGATTTTGATCCGGCGTTAAGAAGTTGCGCTCAAGTCTTTGTGCTGAAGTATCAGAATGAACTATATTATGAAAAGCTTGTGACCATTCAGTATTGGCCTTACGTCCAAAATGCAATTCAAAAGGCGACTTCTTAAGTGTAGAATGATTACTCTTACGAATGTCTTCTATTATTTGTTGGAGTACCTCTTTGAAATTACCAAAATTAGGATCAAGATGCTCCGTGCCCAACTTGCGTTTTATAGTCTGTATCGTACGTTCAACGAGACCAAAGCCTCGATGGTCTCCAACGGGAGAAAGGATATGTTTAATAACTCTACTAGAACAAAATTGTTGTACTAAGTCGTTTTTAAACCCAGAACCATGATCAGTCCTGATAGAATGAGGTAAACCATGAATTCGGATATAAGATTCAAGAAATTTCGTAACATTTTTAGCCCCAGTGGTTTTCGTAATAAGTACAGAAGGAAATTTCGAGAAGCGATCAATAGCTACTAAGAAGAATATCTTCACACCTTTGTCATCCAAAAAAGGACCAGCAAAATCTAACTGCAATTCCTGATTTGGCCCCGTTAGCTGAGGTAAAGATTGAGCGGTATGAAAAGTTTTAACAGGCTTTAGATTCTTACCATACAATGTGCATTCACGGCACTTCTCGCAGGTATCGACAATCTGTCGGTTTAAGAACGGCCACCAAATGTACTCTGAGGCTGACATCATGGCCTCTTGTCCAGGATGAGACCGATGAAGGCGGGCGAGGACGGCTTGCCTCAAAACTTCTGGAATGGCCAGTTTATTGTCAATTATCACACACTGATTGGGCCAAAACTGCCTTGGGCCAAAACTGAGCCATGTAGGCCCCGAGTTTATTGAAACTAGTAACTTCCTTGTTAACAATAGCCCGTTTCATCGCGCCCAGAAATCGATCTTCCTCCGTGAGCTCAGCCAAGAGATCGGCGTCGAACAACCCTGGTAGTCCCACAATTTCTTTCTTGGACCCTGTGAGGATAGGTTTTCCACCATTGATAGCAAACACGCCAACTTTAGCAGCAGTATGGATTTTCCCCGGTCTTGATAATCGGCACCTCCTCATGGCCTCCAATAGTTGGCTGTGTCCCTCCTTTCTTGAGGCAGTCCTGGCAGCAATAAATCGAGTCTTAGCCGCACGCTCTCTGGTCCAATTATGTTGGCGCACCTGATCCAGGCGAGAGATTTATCCTACTTGACGAGATCTCACTGTAGGGCGTGGGCTCGGCCGTCTAAATTTCGGGGAACTCAAAGTGAAATTTTCCACAAATGAGAGGAGGTCTGCTTGTTCCGCCGTCGAGTTGTGCGGTGGTTGTAAGTCAGTAGGGTGAGCTTGCTGAGAAGTTGAAACGTCGCCAGTATGTTGAGGAGCGGTATCTGATAGTACAGTAGAGTGAGAGGGATTCATGTTAAAGTAATGAGATGAGTTTAGTGAATGAGATTTTGATGAATGAAATAAAGATGAGAAAAGAGAGTTGCGACTATCTTTTAACAATTCAGGTCGGAGACAATGATTTAAAGCAAGCGAAGCCGGTCTACAATTATTAATTAGCATACCGGTTTCTGATTGGTTAACTTTGGAACAGCATAGTTCGACGCCCTCACTCGGTGAAAGACTGAATGCGCAAATTTGCATAACGTGATTTGATTGGTCGAGAGAGCAATTTGATTTCCGATTTAGAGGCACAACCTCCTCTTGCGACGAAGAACATAGTTTATTGTCCGAATAAACCACATTGAATAAATTAATAAAGGACAAGGCCAAATTAAAAGCCTCAATAGACTTTACAACAAAAAGTTCATCGTAAATTGACGGTGCGGGAGCTGAAAATGTTGGATAACGAGACAAATAGTCCACAATGCCTAACGTAACCCCTGGGACATGAATAACTTCAAAATCGAACGGTAATAACCGGTCCGCCCAACGCGAAAGGCGCGATTGATAGGACTTGTTATTATAGTTTTCACTCAGTGCCGAAATAATAGCTTTGTGGTCGGTTAATACTTGAAAGCGATTGCCTAGCAAATACGTACGAAAATGTTCGCACGCCCAAACGATCGCCAACAACTCGAGTTCATTCGTACTATACTTCGTTTCAGCATTATTGAGAAAACGCGAGGCAAACGCAGTCGGAGCCCAAACTCCCGGCTCAATCTCCTGTTCCAGACATGCTCCTAACCCGTTATGACTAGCGTCACATTTAACACGAGATTTTTTTGAAGAGTCATAGTGGTATAATTTGGGAATTTTAGCCACCAGATTTATGATACTCTTGAAGGCATTATACTGATCCTCCCCCCATCGAAAAGACTGTTTGTTACATGCCCTTAAAGACTCTCGAAAATGAACTGTATAAGTATGTAGGTCAGGTATAAATCGTTGTAGATGATTTAACGTCCCCATAAACGAGCGAAACTGTTTCAAAGTTCTGGGGGGCTTAAGTGATTGAATCGCGTCAATCTTCGAAAATTTTGGAGAGTACCCGTTCTCATTTATAACGTAACCTAACCAAGTTAATTGGTTTACTGAGAATTCGCACTTACTAAACTTCAATGCCCAGCCTTCTGTATCGAGCCGCTGCATCACTTTCTCGACCAAACTATTATGTTCTTGGACATCTCCCTTCGGGACTACTAGAATGTCATCCAAGTAGCAGATTACACCTTCCAGTCCTTGTAAGGTACAATCCATCGCCTTCTGAAACTCGGTCGGCATGTCAGTCAATCCATAGAACCCCGTCTTAAACCGATAGGTCCCTGTAGCACTCCCTCACAAGATATTGAAGTTACAATGGCTACTTGTAACTGACGACAATGGTAACTGGCTGAAAGCATATTTCAAATCTAATGAGGTAAACCAAACTTTGTCAGGTACGTCTTTGGTGATTATTTGAGCCGCCGAATCGATAAGCTCATGAATATTTGGCATCTGGTATTTATTCTTCAAGATCTGCGCATTCATCGGCTTAGCATTTAAGGCGAGTTTTATCGAGCCGTCCTTCTTGGCTGTCAGTACAATAGGTGCTATGAAATAATCGGTCGTACAGTTATCCAGTTTCTCAATGTGACCTTGTTTGATCTCATTAGCGACTCGATCCTGGATGTGAATCGGGGCTTTACGTCCTTTATTTTGACGTGGTACCAAAGGATACTTAAAATTGGTAAACACCTTGTGGTTTTTGATTCTTCCTAATCGACTAAACACATGCACATATTTCTTGGCGAAGAAAGAACTCCAATAGTCGGAGGTCGGATCTTGATCCTTAACTTCAAGCTGCTGAACGTGTTCTACCCTCAGTTGGGTAGTCACCACACCCAATTGATCTTGCAGGTCTAAGCCCAACAGATTTCGTGTTGGTTCTCGGAAACAAGGAAACAAGCCTCCTCTACTTTACAACCACTAGACGAGATCGGTAGGCAAACTGAGCCGAGAAGGCGAATGGGTTTCTTATTATAATCGACATATAGAGTATCTATAGGGTATCGTGCGATATCTCGGAATTTGAAGGATAGGTTACGTTGTAATATTAAATCGCACGTCCGTTTATTGAGGAACGAGACCGGACTTCCAGTGTCGACCGTTGAATAGAAGAAACTCGACCCCGTACCCAGCTGGATACTAAGGCTTCTCGGTTTCCCTTTGTTTGACTTGAGGAGCTCAATACTGTCTATCCTGACAGCACTTTCTAGCTGCAACACACTGTATTCCGGTTCACTATCATAATCGGCATCTATGAAGTTACAATCGATTGAGGGGTCTGTCGCTTCCTCACTATCATCAACCAGATTAACACGCCGTCTTGATGAGTTGCAACATTTGGCAAAGTGGGCTCGTTTCTTGCAAAGGTTACATGTAACCTCTCGAGCTGGACACGACTTTCTGTGATCCGGGCTAAAAGAGTTACCACAGAAATAGCATGCTTTGTTGCCTTTGTTACTTTGTGTGTTTGGTCGATTGGATTGGTTCTGAGGAGTATTCCGTTTTCCTCTAGACGACTGTATAGAGAAAGTGGGCTCTTGTTTAACCTTTATAGTGCTGGAAAACTGGTTGTGTGGAAGTAGTTTTTGAAACTGAGCCGACGTGCTAGCCCCTTTTTCACACTCCAAACGAGTTTAAAAGTATCATCCAAATCTACTTTTGCCTTAATCAATTGCAGTTGAACATTCAAATCACGGATTCGTCCTATGAAAAGATCTTTCAGAGTATCCCTCTCTTGAGCACGGGGCCAATTACATAAGGCTATCTGAGCACTGAGGCGAGGGTAAAATGAAGAAAAAGTATCGTTTTCCAACATGAAGATAATATTATCTGGTTTAATACGCTCAACAGTATAATCGCGTTCTAACTTGAATAGAGTTTCGCAAGCAACATGAAAGTCACGAAAAGGTGTAACACTGATGCCCGTATGCGGATAGGAGTCTGCGAAACGTCGTTTCCCTTCGTTTCCCAAAGCGAAAAACAATCGTGACTTCAGTCGGGCCTCGGCTTCGTGGTAGAACCAGCCAGTTCAGGCCTGTCCTAAGGCCTCTCCGTCTGCGATCAATATTCAACTCATTAACTCGACGAACTGCTGACTGATATCTGAGGACTCGGGCATTGGCCTCCGCAGCGTCTTCCGTTGCACCTACAGCCTCAGCTCTCGGAGGAGGTTCGTCAATGACCTCCGCGGGTTCTGCTAATAAATCCTGAGGATTTATATTATCTTTCAGCCCAACTGCCAGTAAGAATTGTCCAATCCAAGATTCCCAAAGGAACGGCGGGTTGATCGAAGGTTTTGCCCAAAAAAGGGGAATACCTAACAGGTCAGTCCTGTCTTCATTCACAGGAACTGCTGGCTGCGCCATGACATTTGCCGAGATTTAAAGGACAAAACTTGGTTGTTCGTAATATTGAATTGCTTGATTAGTTGTTTGATTCTTGGTTTCAATTTAGATAATTGTTAGTCAAGCTCTGACTAAATGGAACAGTTAATATAAGGTTTGAATAAATTTATATCTAGCAAACGATGTGTCTAAACATAAGAGTGATCACACGCAGTGTGTCACTCGATAAGGCCAAACCGGTGACCTTGAACCAACTGGTATATAAATCAGCTGCATGGCTGCAAAAGACAATGAATTAAATGAGGTACCAAAAGTCGCCTCATCACAAGGCTATGCTATGTTTTTTGATCGGTTTGAGCGGGTCTGATTGAAAACCTAGAAAATAAGGACGAAAAAAGCTCGGAAGACAATAAATAGAATACGGCATCTTTGACAATGGTTTTTGTCAAAAAAATAATAAAACAACAAAAAAATCATGAAAAAAGTTTAAATTTTTCAAATTTTTAGCAGACTTTTCTTGGTTTTTAAGGATTTTTTTTTGTTTTCAAGAAGACGCTACATGAAACTTTAAAAATTAATGACTGCAAAGGCTTTAATATGATATATCACTCGACCCTTTCAGACTATTATTTGTGGTACCTGATTTTGCGTGGAAACGAAAAGAGTACAATAAAATCTAAAAAACACGAATACAAAGTTCCTCCCCTCTGTCCTCTCCAGATCAACAACGTTGTGTGGTTTTTCAGCTGTTCCGCGGGTGGTGCTGCAGGTGTTGCCTCTCTCGGTGGCAGTGCAGGGGGAGAACAGGACAGTCTCGTGTGTGGACACAGCCAACAGCTACCCTCCCCCCGAAATGTACCTCAGCCATCACGGCCAAATGGGCACGGTAAGACAAATCGCCAATAGAAATGACACTCTAGAACGGGATACCGCAACAACTCGCAAAGTTTCAGGAAAAGGACAACTCGCAAAGTTGGAAAATTAGCTTATTACGTAAGAATTATAACCGGCTCTAAATATCGTATAAAGTCCTATACCCAATGTTGGCAAGCTCGCAACACGTTGGCGCAACTGCGGTGGAGATCATATAGCGAGCTGCCTGTTAATGCGAGTTGTATTGTATTGTGAGCTGTCTTTTGCTGCGAGTTGACTTTTGTTGCGAGTTGTATTTTATTGCGATTTCTATTTTAATGCGAGTTGTCGCGATACGCTAGGATCGAGATACAGGAAAATAGGTAAGCATCAGCATTCTGGAAGCCGAGACTAAAAAACATGATAAAAAATATGAAAAACTTAAAAATTATTTTTTTTTATTATCAGCACTAAACTTACGTGTGCTCATGGAGAAACCGAAATTGTCAAGTGCGGTGCCATTTTCATTATTAGTATAGTTTTCAAAAAAAAATTATAAAATTTTAAAAGCAACAACAAAAAATTCTCAGTAATGTTTAATTATGACTCAGCTTTTAGTTCAGCTTTCATGTTTTTTTGTTGCAACTAATTCAATTTTTAAGTGCCAATGAAGATATTGACGGCAATTATTTTGTCGTTTCCATGTGAGTTTTTTTGTTTTTATCAGGAAAATTGTTACATAGTTGTTCACGCAAAATTTCGTGCTTGGGGTTTGGTTTTTCATTTTACAAAAACCCAATTGAATTATTCAACTTAAAATAAGGAAATTAAATACTTCAAAAATTAATGGAACGAAAAAAGGTGATTGAATTTTACTTTCAAAAACTAGCTTTTAATAGCTAGATTTACCGGTGAAAATATAATTATTCATCCAGTTTTAATAAAGCGTGTAAATTGAAAAAAAAACTATAGCAACAGATTTTTGAAATTCAGAGAAATTTAAAATGACGGATTTTTTGTTCTGAACTCGGACGTTTTGTTGGTATCTTCTTTTCTTTTATCTGTTTGTTGGCTATTTGAAATATGTTTTTTCAGTGCATCAGAAAAATATTGGGGCTAACATGTCAAAATGTTTCAGATTGAGTTATCTGTGAATGCTTTCTACAAAATAAGGGGTTAGAAACGTGCCAATTTTACCAAATTGGGTTAATCCAAGTTCTTGCTAAAGTCTTGCAGAGAATTAACCCTACTCAGAAATAAGTCCAAAAAGCAATGAGTCAAAAAAATGAACTCAAAAAATGAACTCGTGTAACCGACTTAACATTGCAACTCAATGGGTTTTTTAACACAGAGAAGTTCGTTTTTTAAGTTTTGTTCATTTTCTGAAAATCTTATCCAAGAAAAAAGAATTTTGGTTTTGAAATTTTCATTGTCAATTTTTGAAATATGTAAGCTAGTCAGAAACAGTGGTCATTAGACAAGGGTTAAATAAAAGATTTTCGAAATAATAGTGGTTTCATTATCATAGGAACTTTGTATTCGAGTATATTTTACGTTTTTTTTTCTTTTTTTCGTTTTCTTTTCCGCGCAAAATTAGTTACCACAATAATCATCAAAGTAGGTTGAGCGATGTATCCTTTTAAAATCAATTCATTTGTGATTCGAACGACTTTAAGAATTTTTCCAACAAAATTCCCAGTGTCGACAAACACCAGTTTGAATTCGAATGACTTTAAAAAGTTTTCCAACAAAATTCCAAGTGTCATGAAACACCGTTTGGAAAAATTTAAAAGTTTTCCCAACAAGTTTCCCAGTTTCGAGAAACACCGGTTTCAGACACGGGTTTACTTCCTTGTCAGCAACAAAATTATTTTAAAATATTTAGAAAAAACTATTATTCAAGAAAACTTTCAAAATTTTGGTTCGTGAGTTTTTTTTGCTTAGTAATCTTTTTTTAAAGACAACTGTTGACGATTTTGCATTTTGCCTAATTTACTAACTTTTTACGCGTACGCATGTGTATAGTTTTATCATCACACCACCTTCAAAAAAATGACACTAATTTGGAGAACTTCATAATTTTAAGAACTGGATTTATTTGTAGTTTTTATGAACATGGTCTGGAAATTATGTACTGCTTGTACATCAACCGCCTATCCTTGTTATTTTTTTAAATTTAAACGGCAATTTTTGATCAATTGAAAATTATGCTCTCAAGTTAATTTTTTCAATGATTACTTTTTATGAAGTAATGTGAACTTGAAAGTTGGCCATCTCGTTAGTTTGGAATAACTAATAAATGGGCTCTTTCCAGTTTTTTTTATTAATGCATAGCATTAGCGCGCAGTAATTCAGCTCGAAAAAAAGTTAACTTGATTTGGAGCACGTTATTTTGAACTGCAAAACATTGAAGAGTATGTTTTTGCTCTTTCTCACATGTTTTTTCACGACAATACATGAATGAAAAAAGAAATCATTTGCATAGTTTCGCGCACTTTTCCGGGCTCTTTCACAATTTTCCAGGCTCTTTCACAATTTTCCGGCATCTTTCCCTCAGAAAGAGCAAAAAGATACTCTTCAACAGTTAGATCATAGTTGAAGATGGCTTTGGATAAAAGAGCCGCCATCGGGCACTTTGTGCCCTCAGGCCTGGCTCTTTTTCCCTCGGGCATCTTTCAACTATGTTCTAACTACTACTTAATACACCAAATTGCAAATTTTTGTTGAATTGAATTTTTGAATTTTTTTCATAACTAAAAACTACTTCATACAATTAAACTGGCAGTCGGAACAATCGGGAGTTTGCTGTTTTTCGCATTTAAAATTGTTTTTTAATTAATGTTAGCAAGTTGAGTACAATTTTTGACAATGTTTCATCCATATGGGAAAAATTTTAGGTAAAGTGTTTTTAGGAGCAAATTTATCTAACAAATTAACTTTAGACGAGGCCAATCGTATATCAATCGTTATGCAATAAATTATAGTCGTTTTCTTTCGAAAGGCAATAAAAAACGGGACAGATTTAAAATTTACCGTTTTTCACCATTTTTCGTAATTGTATCGTGTTTCTCAAGATAACAACCAATCTACGTGAAAATATTGAGATAAAAGAAAGAGCGCTGAGTGTTATTTTTTCATTCATCGACTATCTTCAAAGCATGTTCAAGATCACTGTTGGGCCCAAGTGAACAAATTATTCCCTATAATAACCAAATAAATAAATGGTAATAGGCCAACAGGCCGAAGGGCCAACAAACCGAAAATAAGATTACCATTCCCACAACCGAAAATTGATCTTGTTACGCAACATAACAACAGATTTTTACTGATGCTGTGCAATTGTTACGTAATTTCTGGCGATATATATATTCAAGATATGGCGTTTTGTAGATATGGCGGATAGTTGAATATCCGCCGAAATAACCACCGACGATCACCACCGACGATCACCACCCTAAAAATAAAGCAGTATGTAAGTCATGATATAAAACTCTGAAATCTGATTGGCTGAAAAAGAACGTTTTAACTCCTTTAAAGTGAGCGATATCCTCCTTCAACTGATTTTTGGGGGAGATTGCTTCCCTGATACCTAATTTATCTCCAATCAAAAACGGACACATTGTTTTCTCAAATCCGAGCTACTTTTGCTTTGAATTTTTTTTTCACTGACAAATGCAGTCGGAGCATTCTGTACTACTCATACAGTAGACAGGTAGGTTTGGTTGTTGATTAGGTATTGAAGAGTAGCAGCAACCACTCTCTCATCTTCCCCCTGGACAACATCCAGCCCCACGTGGGGGGAGTGTGGACTTGTGGGGCCACTAACGAGGTCGGAAGCTCCGTGGAGGTCAACACTACCGTCATTGTACACTGTGAGTATAACTAAATGAGGAAACAAGAAAGTCAGACTGCTGTGCAAGTAGCGTAGAATGTTCCCACCACGCTGATTTTTTTTTTAAATCAAATACAAGTAGAAAAAATTTGCAAAAAGACGGCAAATACTTTTTATCTAAATGATGTTTGTTTTTTTTCAAGAAAAAAAACAATCGAGTTAGATGAAAAAAATGAAAAAATGAATGGTAATAATAGCTAAAATGGCTTTATATTGAGGTAGAATTAAATTGAGAGCTCAGTTTATCATAGCGTATCATTCGTACATTTTGAGTCATCTTGTCTGAAAAACGGGAAAAAAATCAAATAACGACAAATATAGCTTTTTAAAATGCTGCCACAATTGACCCCATACACGCTTTATTTGAAATAGTCAAAATCGGGGAAAAGTACCTTACCACAAATTTAACTTGCCTTCATTTCCTAAATTGGCCAAAACTTTCTCGTATTCTTAATTTACCGATGAATTGAGAAAGAAATGCATAATAGCAAAAATAACGTCTCGCATCAGATTTTTTTGCCTCGATTTTGTTGGTCAATTTCTACAAAATTCGAATATAAATCATAATCGATCAAAAATAAATAACAATGTTACTAGGTATCTGTCTAAGCAAGAAAATCACTTTTTAATCGACTTAAGACTTTTTCAAGAAAGTTTGAAACTTTTTGGTTGAAATTTAAACAATGTTTAATAGATTACAATCAATTATTTTTGGCAAATTGCGTCGTCATTTATTCTTAGTTTAAAAGTCACAGGAGTTCTTGGGTTATTACAGAGGGATTTTAACTTAACTAGTAAGTTAGTTAATAATTCTTGTTAGTATAATTTTTAAAATTGTTAGTCAAGCCAGTGCTGGAGTTGACAGCAGACAAGACAGAGTTGAAGGAGGGGGAGACATTTGAGGCGAGTTGTGTGTCCACCTCCTCCCCCTCCCCCACCCGCATGCAGTGGCTACACCTCAACACAGGCATAGTCCTCACTCAAATACCCCTGGGCGGCAACCCCAATCGACGCACCCACTCTGTACCACACTACAGGTGAGAAACAACAATTTATAATAGAACCTCCCACGGGTCATTTCTGCTATACAGCCCAAATGATCAAACTGTTAATTGAGTTTCTCTTATTGAAAATGCTGAGAACTCTAGCTGATTTTAATTTCAGCCGATCATATTGGAGCACCATGATGAAAATTTCGGAATGGCAAAAAGAATAGTTTTTGGGCCGTGCAACAGAAAAGACCCGAACCCGCCAGAGTTGAACATAGTTATGAGTCAATAATTTTCCTTTGAATTTGCTAAATTTTAATTTGCTTGTGTTTCAAAAAATATCATTAGATAAGATTGGAAACCATTTATAATTACTAAATTACTAAATTAATGATTTTTATCAGTAATGAAACTAGAAAGAATTGTGGAAAATTATGGCGGAACCACTCAATATTTATTCTGAAATAACTGGTTTTCAGATGACATCGGCCAAAATTGGAATAGAAAAAACTGTAAGAAACTCGGCTCATATCTTCTGTTTTCCCACCGGATGCCTTTGTGTTCTGTCGACCTAGTTCACTCTGACTAACTTTTGTCCCCCTGGTCCAATTGTCATGAAACTTTTCATCTGGTTGCATTACGCAATTACAAACGCATTTTTGTCATATACAGCCTCGTAAAACCAAGAGTTATTTTGTAAATCTGATGGTTTTTCCCAAAACTATGTAAAAATTGTTTTTTTTATTCAAAAAAATTTTTCAATTGGAACGATTTTTCCTGAAATTTTTCATTTAGGAAAAAAAATTTATGTTGTTTTAACTAAATGTTGTAATTTACGAACTGAAACAGTATTTAGTTTTTATCAAAATGATCAGCGTATTATCCTTGTGTCACTTTTCACAGACGGAAAACAGACGCGGCCTTCCCCTCCTCCTCCGTGACGAAACTGGACCTGGTGCTGCCCCGCATCTCCCCCCAGAAGAGTGGCACTCTGGTGTGTGTGGGGGAGAATGAGATGTACAATGGACAGAGACTGGTCTCCAGGAAGTCACTCAACCTCACTGTTCAAAGTATATTTTATAGATTTGCATCATCAGCGAGTGTGAATAAAACAGCCGAAGTACAGTGCTGATTTAAATTATCCGGACAAAACGAACAAAACTTGAATTTTCCAACACGTTTTTCTCAAATTGGGTTACTATTAGACAAAAAAGGAAGAGAATAAAAGTTGCTTAGAATTTCATCAGAATTAATATGTAGAAATTTTTTCTTCGAAATTCTCAACCAAACATTTAGCCCAAAAATGGGTCATTTTGGCTTTGTTCAATTAATCAAGAATTACGCTGAAACAACTTTGTTGATTGATGAAAAATATATATATCACAAGAAGCCTTTTACACAGCGCAGAAGAAAAAATTGCTCCATACTAATTCTGATGAAACTCTAAGCAACTTTTATTCTGTTCCATTTTTGTCTAATAGCAACCCAATTTGAGAAAACGTGTTAAACAATTCAAGTTTTGATCGTTTTGTCCGGATAATTTAAATCAGCACTGTGTAAACCAACCGAAAATGCGCAGAGTATATAAGCCAGCGGAAAAGTTAAATCATAAGAATGAAATTTACATAACTTTCGTAACGGTCCTTTAAATGATACATAACTGTTATGTAACACTTACGTATTTTCGATGGTTGATACTCGGCTGGTTTATATTTTGGCTGCGGAGAGCTCAAGTGCTAATTTACTTCCTCGGAATCTATTTTGATAGGTGTGATCCAAAAAAAACTTAGTCTATTTTTTAACAACATTAGCAAACTTGAGCTGAAACGGCCATTTTTAGTTACACCAAGCCACGTAACAAATCTTTTTTTTGCAAATCAAAAATTTGAAAAACAACCGAAAAGAAAAAACAGTTTTTATTGGTTATTTATTAGTGATATCATAGTTTTTTTAGTAAGTAATTAGCCACAATTTGTACTGCAAAAAATATTTATTTAAGCTACATATTAGCAATTTTTCAGCTAATTTAGAGATTTTTAGAAATTTTTCAACTGCAAAATTATCGATAAGCTATCGCTAATTCATTGAGCAATGCGGAAATAACACCAAAAAATCTATGAAAGTCTTACTTAGACTGGGTTTGCATTTTTTCCTCAATAATTGTAACTGGGAGCTCAGCCCGGGTAAATAAATCTTATAGTGTTACACTTAAAAAATTATAATAACATATACATTTTTCGAATAAACAAAATTTTACAGAAAAATCAGCGGATTCTGAAAAAATTTCACGCACGCAGATTTAAAATTTCGGGCGACTTTGAAACAATTGTTTCTGTCCGAAAAATTTTATTTTTGCAGGTAAATAATTTCTGCAATCCGTCTATATAAAACTTTTTCACGGAAGTTTGATTTGTTTGAATAATTTTTTGAAAATCTATCAAAAAAAATTGTCGTGTTTCTTTGTGTTCATTTAACTTCAAACAACTAAGTAGATTTCAGTAAAACTTCGAAATTGTTTATTTAGTGTTTTGGTTGAAAATCAATTTTCTCATTGTTTTCTCCGTTTTCAGGACTTTTTTGGTCATTGTTGAAAAAAAACAGATTTGAGGAGAAAAACTGTTGTCGTTTCTTCTGTGATGCTTAAAACATGTCATAAAAAATAACGTATGTCATAAATAATTTTGTGAATTTTAAAATATTTATCAAAAAACTTAAAATGACAAATGATAGATTTATATATCTGTGATAACTCAAGGAACTAGCTCTAATTTTTAGTAAAACTATTGAAATCACTTTAGATCCTCCAAAAAACATGCATATTTACCCCCACGTGGACAAAGTAACTGCTGCGGAGGGGGACGATGTGCAGCTTAAATGTGTGTACGACGAAGGACTCCCCGCTTCCCTCACCGAATGGACCTTCAGATCCCACGGAAGGATCACAAGTGCTGCGGGTGGCCAAAAAGGAACGCCTGGAGTTTTTGGTGGCGCTTCGGAGGACTTGGTTCGAGTGTCACCTTCCAGGTAGGGTGATCACTTAAGTGTAAGATTAAGAAAAAGAATAAGAAATCGTGATCACAAGGTTAAGCTGTTCACTCCGACTCAAAATCAAGCACCCAAAGTTAAAATGTAATTCGCTCACCAGAAAAACCGCATTATAAGTTTTTCTCATACCTATAACCGCTGATCGCAGTTTTGTTAAAGAACTACTTAATATTTTTGGCCACTGATTTGTTCGTCTTACCACGATTTTTATGGGCTAGAGTTGTGCGAAACATAATCATCCCGATCATTTTGATTATGCTTTAATTATCCGACACGACAAATGTATTTTAAAGGGCACTCTGATCAAAATGAAGCTTCATGTAAGGGTTTTTGGAATACCAAAGGGAAGGAAGAGTGAAATTTCTTGCTTAACCTCCCAATGATTTTTTCTGCATATTTGCGAACCTTTACAGGTAACACTTTTTCCGGTCAAACATAGTAGAAAAAACTGTTCCTTGGTCCAGCAATATGGAAACGCATCTTATTCGGTGGAACACAGTAAACACACAAGTGATTTGGGTCAAGTCAGTCTGCTCATAAAAAGCTAGGTTCAAAATTGCTAGAATATATGGAAGAATTGGTCTTTTCCGAAGCCTGCTAGAAATACGCACCTGTTTAGGTCCAAAGTGGTGGATGGGATTGGGTACTCGTGGCTGGACGTGAACAGAATCACCAAGTACCAGTCTGGAGTCTACACCTGCAGCGCCTGGAGCTCGCTTTTCCCCCTCAAAATCAACAAGACCATATCAGTCGATGTAGTGTGTGAGTAAAAGGACAGGGTTCTTGTTCCCTAACCCCTGTTACCCGGGCTGAGATGCTTGACTCATGATTCGACCAAAACGGTCAAACGGATTCCGATTTTCGTTGCAAATTAAGACGGTCAAACGAAGACTATAGTCGAACAAAGTCAAATTAATCATGGGTCGAAGTCAAACACACAAAACAAGAAAGTTAACAAGGTTCAAGGACAGCCGTACATTCTTTGGAACTCCCCCATATTTGAACTTCAATTTTAAAAATACTAACTTTAAGTTTTCATAAACGTACTACAATTTTTCATGATGAGCATAGATTTTTTGAACTGTCTTCATTAGAGCTCGCATTTCCAAAATTATGCACAACGCTAAAAAGTTACCAGCATCAAAAAAAAGAATGTTCCAAGAGTAAAGCGGGGTTCAAATTGATTCAAAAGTAAAGCGGGCTCAACACTTAAAAAGCAGAAGCAATCAACAAGCGATACCTTAGCGATTGTGGATCCGGCATGGAATGTTTCACAAAACTAGTATTCACGGCCAACACAATCAATGGCAATATTTAGTTCATTTGCCAAATATAGCTTTGATCAGGGGCGGATCTAGGATTTTCTCGACGGGGGGCGGATTTTCAAAAAATTTTTGCAAATTTTGTAGACATTTTTTTAGGTCAACCAAATTGATTTTGTGAGCTCTCCTAAAGCACTAACAAGACGGCTTGTATCACTGCCAAGCCCTTAATGCTCCGACTGCATTTTAAGGTCTTTGGAGCAGTAATAATTTGAAAAATATAATGAAATAAAATAAAATATTAATTTTTTAAATAAAATAAAATAATAAATTTTTTTATAAAAAAAACTTGAGGTTTTTTGTGAAAACATCCCCCGCACGCCATATTCAGTACAAAGTGATAAAATTTGCTCCCATTAACAAATCAGTTATGGCTTATAAGCTTCCTTGAACCAATTTGGAACAATTTCTAAGACAGATTAATTCTCGCTTGCGCGTTAATAGCGCGAAATATATCCCGTGTTAATTGTCCCAAATTGGCCATAATGTTAATATTTAAACCCCCATAACTTAAAGAAAAATTCTCACAGGTAAAATATCTTTTAGAATTTAAGCTTAAGACAACAATAACTTTGGAATGATAAAAAATTCCGTCAAAAATGGCTAGTTAAAAAGTCGAAAATTGTCTGAAAAAAAAAAACCCACCCCGAGCACAAATATTCCGTTACTTTCGTTATGAAAGTCGAACAATTACTTTCGTTACAAAAATTGTAACAAAAAAACGCCATTTTGGCCAATTTTTCTGCGCCGCAGGCAAATTTTTGAAAACCAGGTCAAAAGCAAAAAAGCCGTTTTTGGGCAGTTATTAGAAAACTTTGACAAAAAAATGCGTTTTTTTAGCGCGCGACATCCTTCAAAGTTGGTATTTGGGTTTCTTAAAAAGTACCAAGGGGGGACCTTTTTGAGTTGACAGGGGGTTGAATCCCTGAGAAGGTGCGTCCACGCCCCCGCCCCTCCCCTAAATCCGCCCCTGGCTTTGATTGTTTTTTTTCGGCAAGATTGTTGGTTTTTATCAATGGTTTCACCAAAACTTCAACAATTATGCCTTCTGGTTTTTATTTTTAGCACGTATTTTTCAGACAATTTTTATCACATGCTTGTGTTTTTTTAATCGCTGCATTTGACATTCAAAATGCCTCGATCAATGCATCAACAAGCACTCATCAAGCATAAACAATCATTCCCTGAATTATATTCTGAAATGTCTCGCTATATAAGTTTTTACTTTCAAGTCTCTTTCCTTATATTATGTTGTTTTTGCTGAAAAAGCAGTTTGTTGAAATTGAAACCCTTTCAGAAAGTATTGAGACATTCGCAAAATTAAAATATTCAGAAACAGTTATTGTTATTCGAAAAAACTGACGGAAAAGTTCTGCTTGGGATACTTCTTTCTCTCCAGACAAGTTTCGCCTTTTCAACTAGCAAGTTTTGACGGAAACTTTAAAATCTCATTCGAGAAGTATTGTTGTCTGTTGTCTTGAGGTCAAACTTAAAAAGATGTTTTACTTATGATCCTTTTTCATAAATTTATAGGTGTATTCTCCAACTGGCCTTGTTTGTGGGCAAAATTTTAAAAATTATATCAAAAATTTGCTTAAAAAATCTGCGAAGTTGGCAAAACTGTAATTATAGTGAAAAAGTTTTTAAAAATACAAGTTTAATCACTAATAGAATTATCCCAAACTGATCAAATGACTTTTTTTAAACACTGATAATTTTACGAATAAATTTTAGCAGTTCAAATCTTGCAGATAATAAAAAGTTACTCAAAAAACCAACCCGAACGTCAATTTTCCTTGATTTTCTTTAAAAGTCAAGATAACAAAAATAACTGTGGCACTTTTCTGTCAAATAAATAAACTTGAATTCTTAAGGCTTTAGGATTAAGATTTTTGTCTAACAAACAAACTTGGATTCTCTAGACTTTTGATTCCAGAAGAGACAAATAGTCGATTGAAAAGGATTAGTTCCTTTTATAAAAACAGTTGAGTTTAAAACAGATTAAAATGTCATATTGTTTTAAGTAACTAATCGGCCAAAAATGAATTTTAATTTAAGTCTTCCTGTAGCTGCATTGATTTGAAGGTTTTCTTGATAAACAGAAGATTGAAAAGTAAAAAGCTCATAATTCTGCGGCATTGAAAATTACCATCAATTATAAATTCTGTGCTCATTCCTGAAGTCACTGCAGCAAATTAAAAATACCCTCTTTTCAAATTCGATTATTTTTCAATTAAATATATATTAAATGTTGAGGTAGTCACCAAAATAAGACTCAAGTAAATAAAATTGTAATTGTAAAGGTCCCGTTGACTGAATTAAAAAAAATGTAATTGAAATTAAGTTTCGTTTTGCATGCTTGATGTCATTCTCGTAAGGGCTCCGCCTCTCATCAAGTCCAAATTCTCCCAGACTTCGTATAGTTACTAGAAAGAAACTCGGTGTTTTATTTTTTTGCTTTTTACTAATAATTATAGAATTTCATTTCCTGCTTTTTCTCCAAAATCCTGATTGAAACGTGAAAACTTCATTACTTATTTGTCACAAGGACGTTTCATGTCAGTTATTTTTTGCTAGATAATTTCGCAACCAAAAATTCCCCTGTTCACTATTTAACCTTGGCAATTATTAATAAACCTGTTCTATCTCCTAAAAAGTAGTGAAAACAGAATTTCAAACAAACAGTTCACATCTAAAAGTATAAAGTTGTATGCCAATTTGGCGCAAAATTTAAGCTCGTTATTTTTTTAAAGTTGTACCAAGAATGAGTTGTATTTTTACGCTACCTAGCTCTTATTCAATATTTTACTTCTACCTATTTGCGACTAATTGTTACATTCTACTTGTTCAGTGTAGCTACAGCGTGAAAAGTCTTCCAGGTAAAGCTATGGTAGTTGACCCCCGAAAATAAAATAGGTTTTTGTTGATGAGGAATCTGTTCACCGCCTAAAGGTTAGGGCGTGAACTTTTATGATAATTTTTATGCAATTTTTTGTGGGTTGACCTTAAGTATAAATTCTTCGAAAATTTGTTGGGTACAAATATGCATTTATTGTGGAGCGCGCGCCAAGAAAAGCCTTCGAAACCTTATTTTTGCGCTTTTTTGTATTTTTTCTTTTGGAATGTGCGGAAAATTACCTCCCCTCCTTGAAATTGTAGACCAATGCATTATCTACATAAAGTTATATAAAAGTAGGTCACTGATAATAAAAACCTGCATATCCCAAGCCTGGTAATAAACATTTCTGGTTAACATGCGTCAAGCTAGTGTCATCTTTCAGATCCCCCCACCAAGCCCATCCTGGAGCTGCGCTCCCCTCAAACCCTGCAATTTCCGAGGGGGACATTGAAAGCGAAGTGTACCTCCAACTACAGCAACCCGAAGGCAGTTATCCACTGGTATCTGGAGGGGGTGCAACTGATCGACGAACAGGGGGGAGGGGACACTGTCATTGTCAACTCAGATGACTTAATTGGTAATTTACAAACACTAATTTTTTTCAAACCATATGCAAGGGGGCGCCTCCGGACAATTCGGTTTAAAAACAGTTCAGCCAATATGAAATTCAGACGACTCAGCTAAAAGTATACCGACAATTCAGCCACAGAAAGTTCAGCCACAGAAAATTCAGCCAAATTAATTTAAGTGCCGACCAATAATTAACTTCACATAAAAACTTAGAGCATTTCTTAATTAAAGGTTTATTAGTAACCAATGCAGTCGCGTCAACGTGTTGCGAACTTGCCAACATATGATCGGTCGCTATACGAAATTTAGAGCCGGTTGTGGCCGCGATGCCCATCGCCGACCTTACACCAAGAAAAAAATACAATTCCAACTTTTTCGAATCTAACCTGTTGAAAAACTGGCTGAACTGTCTGCGATTCAGCTGTTTGTGTATTTGTGGCTAAGCTGCTCAAATTTCTAAATTCGCTGAATTGTTTGAACGCCGCAAGGGGAGCTACCCGCACTCAGTAAAAAGAGAAATTAATAGTTTATAATGGATTTTCATTGTCAGTCTACATAAATTTCAAAAAGAATTGATTATAATCGAACCCATAAAAATCATTATAACAAATTATCATCGATTATGATCAATTATTTTAAGAAAGTTTTTTTTCTCAATCCTTTATTATTCAACAAACGCCATCGCTTCAGTTCGTTTTAGTTTTGTTTCGTGTGAGCGTGCTTTTCAATTGATTACCGAACTAAAAGAAACTTTAATTTTGTACTTAAAGCCACCAGCGGATTTATTAAGGGGGGCGTCGAGGATGCGACGCCTCTCCCCCCTCCCCCTCAGGGATTCGAACCCCTGCCGATCCAAAAGTCTCCCCGCTTTTGCCCCATTATTTTGAGATTCCCCACAAGCTTGTTGTCCCCCCAAAATTTTGAGATATCCATTTTTGGTGACGGACCCTAAAATTTTTCTAAAAGCGTCTTGGGAGCCAGTTTATACAAATTTTGAGGGGGAGCGCGCGCCTCAAAAAGACAATTTTCTGGTCAAAAATTTCTAAAAAGTGCTTAAAAACGCCTTTTTGGCCGGTTTTTTTGAAATTATATATGTGGCGCATAAAGTTTGACGAAAACAAGGTCTTCTTAATGCCTTGGGAGAGCTTGGATTCAATCTAGTTATAGGGTTTAGGAGACCCCCTCGCAAAAATCTTAGATCCGCCCCTGGTTTACTGATTCTTACTTCTTACTGACTTTTATTGTGTTCTCATGCAGAATAGCCAAATTTTAATCCATTTTTTTTATTTTACTTGTAAAAATATTTTGCTAAATTCGCCGAATTGTTTGAACGCCGCAAGGGGAGCTACCCGCACTCAGTAAAAAGAGAAATTAATAGTTTATAATGGATTTTCATTGTCAGTCTACATAAGTTTCAAAAAGAATTGATTATAATCGAACCCATAAAAATCATTATAACAAATTATCATCGATTATGATCAATTATTTTAAAAAAGTTTTTTTTTCTCAATCCTTTATTATTCAACAAACGCCACCGCTTCAGTTCGTTTTAGTTTTGTTTCATGTGAGTGTGCTTTTCAATTGATTACCGAACTAAAAGAAACTTTAATTTTGTACTTAAAGCCACCAGCGGATTTATTAAGGGGGGCGTCGGGGATGCGACGCCTCTCCCCCCTCCCCCCTCAGGGATTAGAACCCCTGTCAATCCAAAAGTCTCCCCGTTTTTGCCCCACTATTTTGAGATTCCCCACAAGCTTGTTGTCCCCCCAAAATTTTGAGATATCCATTTTGGTGACGGACCCTAAAATTTTTCTAAAAGCGTCTTGGGAGCCAGTTTATACAAATTTTGAGGGGGAGCGCGCGCCTCAAAAAGACAATTTTCTGGTCAAAAATTTCTGAAAAGTGCTTAAAAACGCCTTTTTGGCCGGTTTTTTTGAAATTATACATGTGGCGCATAAAGTTTGACGAAAACAAGGTCTTCTTAATGCCTTGGGAGAGCTTGGATTCAATCTAGTTATAGGGTTTAGGAGACCCCCTCGCAAAAATCTTAGATCCGCCCCTGGTTTACTGATTCTTACTTCTTACTGACTTTTATTGTGTTTTCATGCAGAATAGCCAAATTTTAATCCATTTTTTTTTTATTTTACTTGTAAAAATATTTTGCTAGAAAAGGGATTATAATCAATTATAATAGATTATGATAGATTATAAGAGGTTATAAGAGTTTGAAAGAGACTTTCGGAAAAAATTGTATTCAATTATAATTGATTAAAATTTAATAAAATGTCAGTAAAAGTGTTATCATTATAATGGATTATAAATCGTTTAAACATCAAAAATTGGCGCTTATAATTCATTATAATTTTGCTAAGAGTACGTTTATAATTACAATAAAATCAATTTTTTTATCTTTTTTCTGAGTGCGGGTCGTCTGATTACAGATTATCGAACACACAAAAGCTTTTGATTCAATCAACGTCCTTCAGACAGCCAAAAAAACACTAGGCTGTAAAATGAAAAATTATGAAAAAATTATGGGGTCTTTCTAGTTGTTCCGCCCAAAAATCAATAATTCAACATCTTAAACAGAAATTGTTTGCTTCAATTTGATTGACTAGAATAGGCCAATCAAATTTCAGTACCAATTCAAAATGTTTTGTTCACAATTTTACGCCGAGTTATAAATAAGCCCAATTAACCAAAATTTGTTTAAATTTGAAAATCAATTCAAGTTTGACTAAATAACTTAAAGAGTTATAATCAGACCAGGAAAGAACATAGAAAACAGCTACAGGGAAAAAATGTCAAACATCTCCTCAAAATTTGATCTTGTTAGAAATCGGCTAATATTTTAAACGATTGCGTTCGTATTAACAAAACAAATCAGTGCGCTCAGTAATTTTCTCTCTGGTTTATGCATTGAATACTACAAAAATGCAAAATGTGGAAGTACGGGCGGAATGAGTAAAAAAAACTCAAATTATGATGGAAGTTAATTTTTCATCATTAGATAAAAAGAGCATACCAATTGTAATTGTAATATTATTTGGAGAACTCGTAAGAATAGCGTAATTAACGTGATGCCTCCTAACGCAAACATCTAATCATCAAAAATCTGATTTTCAATCTAATCGGCCAATTCAATCGAATGGATAATGTTGCTAAAATATGATTTCTGATAAAAATTAGTCAACTGAATGCAAATAAAAGTGCCCGGTTGCAATGCTTGTGACACCGAATTTTGCGACCACCTTAATTCCTTAATTAATGTAGAAAAAAGTAAAAAAAAAACATTCTTTAACCAGAATTTTTTAAGGATTTCATTTTCTCTTCAAAATATTTACAATTTTTCCGAGGTAGCCTTATTTGCATATCAACACAAGCGAAGCTTAATGTCTTTTTAAAAAGTCTTTGTTTCTAACTCAAGTCGCAAATAAACGTGCTCAATTTGGGGCACTTTTGCAGCACTCGTTTTAATCTGGTTTAATTCTGCCAAATTATTAATTATTTGGTATAAATTTGTTTCATTAGCAATTTGTTTTTATATCAGGTTAGTTTTGGCTTTTGCTGGCTTTTTAGGTCTACTTTTTGCCGTTTTCCTCTTGTTTTTGAAAAATACAGAGTTGACTCTGTGTAAAAAATCCAGAAACAAAACAAAAGTTTGGTGAAAACGGGTGGTTACCTGTTTCATTATTCGTACTCCATCTAAAAAGTACGGTTTCAGACCAACAGTCTTTTTCAATGCCAAAAATAATGATGATTTTTGAAATTCAACTTGCACTTTAAATTGAGTTCAAATCCAAATTTTTGCTATGCAAAAATTTCTAATCATCACAGAGATGGCAGCGGGCACATCAAACTTGAGTGTGGGTAGCTCATTCGAGGCAAGTTTTTATTACAATGAGTGCCATTTGGTCAAGCAATTTATGAAGATTTTTTGTTGAAGCAAGAGATTATTTAATCAATTGGAACTTTGAAACCGTTTGCACTTTAAGAACGGTTCTTTATTCAATGTTGAAATGAATTATATGGACGAATATGGGACATTTTGCCACAAATTGTACGGTTAATTATTTTTTAGTCTGATTATCACAGTAAGATTTTTGCTAAAAAATCTAAACGTATAAAATTTCGGCTAAATGTGTAATATTTTGATATAATTTTGAGCTCACATTTTCGCAAAAAAGCTCTCTTATATGTTCTGCAGAAACCTTAGAAGATTTTGTGATCGCAATTTATTTTCACCGGATATAGATATTGTAAATTAGATGGTATTAACAAAAAAGCAACAAATTGTATGGATTATATTTTTGAAAAAAAAAATAGAAAATATGCCAGGGTTAAGTTCACATCCTGAAGGTGCAGTTTAAAACGTTTTTTTTTTTAATATGAAGCTAGCTATCACATCTGACAGTTAAAATCTCAGAAAAATTTGTCAAAAAGGCTTTTGGAAAAGTACTTATTCGTAATATCAAACAGGACCTATCAAGATGAGAATTTTTATGGTATTTGAAGGTTTCATGGACTGGGAAAATTACGGACCATAGTTAGTAATCCTAGTGAAATTTTTAACTTTTTCCTGAAATTCTTGAAAAGCAGAACACTTAATAGGATTAAGTACTGCAAGTTGCTACTTGTTTCAAATGAGTTTTGAAGAAATATCAAACATTACTGAAATAAAATTTTTGGCAGCTCCAAAAATTTAAAACGAACCCCGTAAACATTATACCAAACCAAATCAACTGAGATTGCTTTTTCGTTTTTTAGTTAACCAGCCAGAGGCCTAACCCGAAAGTTTATTATTCAAGGTTAACTAAGCTATGGCTATCTTACAAGAGCTCACCTTGTAAATTGCAGTGCTCGTGCGATTTGAAACCGCAATCATATAATTACTGGGCACCTTCACTACCGATGCGCTTCAACGCCACATTTTTAGTTTCGATATTCAAAAAAATTTCGAGGCCCAACAACATCCGTACACGCTGCTTGCGAGGGTGTCGCAATTTTTACGAACCCAAAAAAATTACTTAAGAATTAGCTTGAAATCATAATCAGGGGTACAACAGGAGTTCTCTGTTAGGATCCCAATAGATTGTATGTTTGTCTTTCTTTTTTGTTGAAAAAATATGGTACTAAGCAAATAAGACGACGGGCCATTAAGACGACCAGACATTAAGACGACAAATATGCGTTATTACATATGTAAAATGAGCAGTTTGAACTTAAGCTGTTTAACTTTCTCAAAAATACAATTGTGTGCAACGTCGTCTTAAATTCCCATCGAAAAAGTTTGTCGTCTTAACGGCTGTCGTCTTATTTGCCGGTCGCCAAAAAAGATATTGTTTTGTTCAAGATGCGTTTATTTTCAGAGGAAGGGGAGACTGGAGAAAGAGTGCAGCTGATGGCCACATCTAGTCTGGCTACTCCGGCTCTGAGGAGCATGGACGGCAAGAGTCTCTGGTGCCAGGCACACAACTCCAGATTCCCAAACTCACACTCCATGTCCAACAGGGTACCCCTAGAAGTACTCTGTAAGTTATTAGTCATAAACAGCTTTGCAGTAGGGAGAGATCTCTGTTCAAATTTCAATAGAAAAACTAGTCCGTAAAAATTTCATTAAAAAGATTTCTGTCGCAAGATTTTTTCGCTTTTTAAGATTTTTATCATCTGATTGCTGTACCGATATTTGCTATGAGCTTAAGCGTCAAAAATAATTATATAAAAATTTTTGGCGTTTAATCTCCAAATTTCGGTACAGCAATCAGATGAAAAAAATTAAAAAGCGAAAAAATCTTGCGAGATTTCTTTTTAATTCAAATCAATTGCAATTCAAATCAATTGCGTGAAACAAAATATATTTAAATATATGTTTTATATATACTTTGTTTCGCACGATTGATTTGAATTGCTTATGCTGAATAAACACCCATCCCATGAAACAGGCGATGTTTCTGACACAAAAAAATAGGCCGCATTTTTTCGAGCAAATTCGTGACCAGCAAATCAAAATTGGATTTCAAATTGATTTCAAACCCGTCATAATTACAATTTCAGTTCCGCCTGAGATTAAATACACGAAGAATGCCTACCCGATGTCACACGAGTCAGCTACGATTGAGTGTCTAGCTCATGGCAATCCGACCCCCACCATTAACTGGTACTACGACTACCCCTCCCCCTCCTCCAACAAAGGACCCCTCAACACCACAGACAACGTCAAAATCGTCAGTAAGTAGACACTAATCAGACGAACGTTTTTGACCAGCACGAAGAATTTTTTTGAAAAGATCATTTGGCGTCAATATACACTAGTTTTCAAAGCGAGCGCACTCCAAAAAAGCACTTTTTGATCAGAACAGGCCAGAAAAATGTCCAAAAACGGTTTTTTTGGCACTTCTTCTCACAATGGAAAAATATTAAATAAAATAATGAGGTTTGAAGTTTTTCATTTTTCCATTTTAACAGATGTTTTCAACCAAAAACAGACGATGAAATGTTTCATGCTTGGATGTTAAGTTTTGCTTGATTTCTCTCTATTTCTAGCGGAAGTGAACTCTAACCGGAAGAAAGTGTTGGGCAAATTGACAGTGGAGGAGATAGGCAAGAGTGGCAGTGGGGGCAGGGGGTTGTTGGGATCTTACAGGTGTGAGGCAACGTCCGCCCTCTCCACCGACTTCAAAGTGTCCGAGATAGTCAACATCACTGAAGCTGGTTAGTTACGTTTTTTTTGGAGTTATCTAACTAGTCGGTGTCTGTAAAAGGTTTTGATAACTTGAATTTTTAATTGCTTAATTAAGCTTAGTAAAAAAAAGTTTTACCTGATAAATTTTACCTTTAAAGTTTTTAAAAGGTAAGCTGTGCCTTACCCCAAACTTAATCATGATCGATCCCATTTCTGGTTGCTGCGACTCGCAGAAGGATCTTTGAAAAACTATTCACCCTGTCTAAGCATAGTCTGTTTTTCTTATTTCCACTCATTCAGATGTGGTTTTGTTGAGCGAAGCTCTTTTTTGATAGCAATATGTTAGACAAAATAGAAACGTTTAAAAACAATCGGCCAAAAGAGCGTTTTTAGGCACTTTTTGGAAAGTTTTGAGCAAACAGTCGCATTTTCTGGGCGCGCTCTTCCCTGAAAATTACTATATATTGGCACTCGGGCGGCTTTTAAAAAATTTGGGTCAGCGAGCCAAAAAGAGTTCTTAAAATAGTGCCAGAGCGAAGACCCTTTGGATAGTCAGTGAGTCGAATCACCCACCCCCCCCCCCTTAAATCCGCTACTGACTTTTGACTTGAAAGAAAGGTAGGTTCACATCGTCTGCTCATTTTTAGTTCGACCGAGTGCCCCGTCGGTTACTGGAGTGGCTGAAAATGTTGGCATGCTCTCAGTCAATGTCACGTGGCAGCCGCCCAGAGACCAGTCACACCTGAAGAACGCATGGTTCCAGGTAACCAGAAGCAACCAGCTGCACCCCTCTGTTCTTACTTGAGTTATTTAATTGTGAAATTCAGATAAAAGTAGCAAACTTTAGATAAAATGTTGCTTATTTCAATTTAAAAAATGCAATTTCAGTTAGAAACAAGATTCTGTTTAAAATGTGCAATATTCAGGTGAAAAATTGCATAATTTGGTTGCAAAGTTTCCTGATTCGATTATAATCATTGCCTTTTTAGTTAAAAATTTGCAATATTTGCTTTAAAACAATTACAATATTCAGTTGAAATTTGCAAAATTCTGTTAAAAATTGCATGATTTGATTGCAAAATTTCCTGTTTCGATTATAAAAAAATTGCCTTTTTTAATAAAAGTTTTCAATATTCGTTCAAAAAGTTGTACAAAATCTGGCTATAGTTCGATTAGTCGCAAATCCTTACGCAGGTGTCTTGATTCATTTGATTGCAGGTGGGCTACCAGACTGAGTACCGCAGCTTTTCTTCTCCTATCCACCCTTCTCAAGGTCACGTCGGGGGTAGTCAGTCCCCCCAACCCCATCCGTCGGAGAGCACGATTGTCACTTCGGTAGTGGAGGAACAGATTCCTCCGAACGTGTTCGAGTACACAGTAAAGTAAGCCAGAACAAAAAAAAATACATTTTTATATTTGAATACGTAAGGCTCGTAATCTCTATGTCGGCGTTTCGATTCCGGGAAATAGCAAAGTTTTTCGTTTTTCAAGGCTTAGTTTGTCCCTTTTTTCATGATTCAAGTTTGTGCTTGTTTTTGGGAACTGCAGTTTTGCCTCTGTCTTTAAAATTTGCAAGTTTTTGGCGCTGTTCTCTAATTATAAACATAAAAAAGAATGTATAGCTGCTGTTTCTTGGCGAAAAAAACTTAGCAAACGAATGATTTCATTGAAGCGAAAATGTGTTTCTGTAAATATTTCTGGCTAAAATTTATCGAGAGCAGAATGTAGTTTATTGCAAAAAATAAAAATTAGTTTTTTTTTAATCATTTTCAGTTTTGGAAATTTTTTCAGGGGTCTCGTGGGAGGAAGGAAGTACACCGTGCTTGTGAGGACTTGCAACAAAGTCGGCTGCAGCAATTCCGACTTCAAATCCATTCTACTTTCATTCGTCTCAAAGTGTTAGTCAAATTGATAGCAAAACATTTGAGCTGAACATGAAAACAGTCAATGATTTTCGGGACAAACGATATAGTGTATCAAAATATCTCACTCAAATTAAAATCATGTATAGTTTATATTATGCGATGGCAAGATCCCGCCTCTGCAAATGTCATTCGTGTCGTATGACTAGTACACGAGTTGTTTTGGTATTATTTTTTTTGACCTTGGAACTGGTAATGTCTTAGAACTGCAACTTGAAATCTTTTTATTTGTCCCTTTGTTTCTATTTGCAGCGTCTCTCGTTGTCTCGCCCAATTCGGGAGGAAGTACCCCACGACATGGAGAACTGGGGTCTGACTCGGCTCAACTAGGGGTAATCGGAGGGCGAGACGGGGGTCCCCAAATGACCATTCTGGAAATCATCTTACTCCTGGTGATTGGATGTCTCTCCATTGCTCTTTTGTATCTCTTGGGAATGCTGATGCTCTCAATTCGAAAGATAAAAACTCTGCAGGAGAAGACTCGAATCCTCGACACCCCCTCATTTGCAGCCATGCCTAATGATTTCGTAGTTGGCACTAATTGTAGCTCACCGCAGAAAATTGGTACGGAGCTTGAAAAAAACCTTTGTATAACTGTTTTGTTTCATAGATACTAAAAAAATTCTTAATTGTTCTCAGGGGCTGATCTAAGATTTTCCCAAGGGGCGGATTTTCAAAAAAAAATCTGACTTTTCTGGATCAAGCAAACTGACGACTCTCCCTTCTTAGTACAAAAACCTCTTGCAACCATTTTTACGCGGCAAGCAAAATTTTTATAAATGAGCCAAAAATGGCGTTTTGAGCTTTCTTTAAAAACGTTTCAGAGAAAAATCGCAAGTTTTTTATCAAAAATACAGCCATTCCCCCACCCCCTCCCAAAAAAACCTTTCCTCATTGTTGAAATTTATGTTCGTCAAAAATCAGTTGATACTCATTTAGTTCGACGACTGGATGATGGATTGTGTGTTTAAGGGCCTCGTATGATGGCATTTGGATCTTCGCATGATTATAGTCACACTCAAAGAGGATTAGGATCTCCCCCTTGTCAAACTACGACTCTACTTCACGGTTCATACAGGGACACATCTCGCATATAGACGAGAGGGGAGGGGGACATCGTACTCAAAACATGACTGGATGTACACCAAAAAGGAACCATACAAAGAGACATTAATTGAAATTGAATCGCCTGATTTACAATTTTCCTATTTTTGTAAGGTTTATTAAAAATTGATGTAATATCTCATATATATTTATTTGCAAGATTCCCAATTATTTAATCAGAAATAGTGCAATTAATGTAGCTCTGCAGTCTATTTATTCAAAAATATATTTCGCCTCCAAACTGTTTTCCGAAAGAAACAAAAAAATTGACCGACGGGGTTGACCATATCAAACAAAACTTTCCCTCATTTTAACACTTGTCATAAAATTGGTAGAGTTTTATCCAGGGGCGGATCTAGGATTTTCTCGATCGAGGGGGGCGGATTTTCAAAAAATTGCGAAAAATTTGACGACCTTTTTTTTTAGGTCGACCAAATTGACTTTCCGAGCTCTCCTCCAACATTAAAAAGACTATGTTTTGGTCTAATTTTCTGCGCCGCAGGCAAAATTTTAAAAAACAGCTCAAAAAAGCCGTTTTTGGCCAATTTTTTTAAAAAGTTTTGACAAAAAAAAATCGCGTTTTTTTGGCGCGCGCTCCCCTTCAAAATTAGTATATATTGGCGCCGCAGATTTTAGGGTCGGTCGGCCAAAAATGGATTTCTCAAAAAGTACCAAAGAGGGGACCCTTTGGGTCGGCAGGGGGTCGAATCCCTGAGGAGTAAGAGGCGTCCTGAGAGTAAATAAAATGTTAAACAAATACATAATATACATATACCTTTTAGAAAAAAAATGATTTCGTTGACACAGGTGTAGGGCTTGCAGCGTAAAACTTTCCAACTCAAAGCCCAATAGAGAAAAAATTGAGCCAATCAATTCCTTTTTTCTTCTCTCTTTGTTTTGTTGCCCTCTGCGAAAACTGCCAAAAAATTTTTTCAAAAAGATCTATCAATTTCGGATAATATAGAGCTCTCCTAAAATATAAATCTGTATAGATCACGAAGAGATTGCAATTGCTAGTTATATAACAGCTTAGTCCGCGCAGTAGCTTCTCAGATAATAAATATAGATTATAATGAGAAAAACTTGTCAAAACTGTTGCCATTATAAGCTATAATATGTCACCAATTTAGGCAACAATTTCTATTATAAAAACTAGAAAATGGGTTATTTTCACATCGATTATATCGCGTTATAATTCCACAAAAAACTATTTTAATCTCCATAAAATCTCAAGATGTTATAATTTTGTATCATACACTCTCAAGAATAACTATTTTTTCTTCGCCATATAATAAAAAGATACCAAAAATCAGATTCGCAAAATTTCTTTCAAAAAGTGTTTTTGTTTCGTTTTTTTTTCTTGTAGCATTCAATCACTGTCTCCACGATCTGATCAACTCATTTTTGTTGAGGTAAGTCACGTTTCGCACCTGCCGCTCATCCTGACCACTCAAATCGAAATTAATAATTCGAGATCCGACAGGATTGGTTTTCATTACAGAATAGAAGATAGGGTTGATGGCTGGAGTACCTTGATCTGAATTTTTGGCAACGTGTCTTACAAGAGTCATAATTCGAAAATAAAACAAAGAATTCAACATAGCCTGTATTCATGCCATGCGTAATTTTACCAGCTTCTGACGCCAATTTCAGCCGTTTCTTTGACCTGTTTCTGTTTTTTAAAGATTGACATCTTGAATTTTTAAAAAACAACCTAAAATTTGAATTTTTCAAGCAAAACATGTCAGTTTTTTCAATAAATTTAAATTTGCTTTATAATATATTGTTAATTCAAGGTATGTTCAGTATAATAGATACAAAACAGAAGTAATTCAATCAATTATTTATACATTTTTTAAATATTATCCGGACGAAGCGTTTAAAACTTAAAATTTAAAACGTGTTTTTCTCAACCTGGAATGACTTTAGGTGAAAAAAAAAATGAAAACAAAACTTGCTCAGAACTTCAGCCGAATTACCCTGGTGCATTTTTTTGCGGCATGTGGTCCAAAAAACAGATTGTTTTTAAAATTTTGTTCTATCGAAAATAACGCCAAAACTACCATGTCAAAAACTAACAAAATTGTATCACAGGAAGCATCTTACGTAGTCCAGCAATATTGTATGAATAACTTATTTTGTTTGATATAAAAGAAAGTTATAATTAATATAAAACATCAATTTTTTTTATTTAAGAACAATTTTCAAACGTTTTACGCTATTTTTTGATGCTTATAATTTATTGAACTTGTTTGTACTGGGAGAGTATCTCTATTCTACTTTTTATCCTGGCATGTTTTGCCGTACGCTGCTGCTCTTAAACGCAATCTGCTCTTGGATCATTCTTTTGTGATTATTTTTTAAAAGCTCAACGTCTTCCTAACTGAAGAAAATCAAAAAATTCGAAAATAAAAAAAATATCAAAAATCCCTAACTGAGTAGTCAAATAATACGTTAGTAATTGAGTATTTATGTTCTGACTTTTAAAAAAGTGACAAAATATTCACGCTGTGTGTTGACTATCAATTCTGGACAGAAAACTTTTTTGTCATATGAAACAGAAAATTGTTTCGCATGCAATCAATTATTGATAGCATTTGGTGGTTCTGAAATACCTTGAACAATTGGAGATTATTAGCGCTCGATATATTTCAATTGCTCGATATAGCTTCATCCGGCACACAAGTTGTTTTTGAAAAATTAGGCCAGCTTTTTAGTCTAATGAAAATGGTACTAGACTCTAATTGCATTATTTTGTACTTTACGTAGCGTCTAAGCTTATCAAAAAAATGTGAAACACAATTTCTTACTTTTTGAAAAAGCTCGTATTTTTTCTAAGCTCGTAGATCTTTTTAAGGAAAAAAGGGCATTTGAAACAGACAGAACTTTGCCTGATGCGAACAGCGACAATTGATTTTGTATATAAGTACCTAAAACATAAATGCATGGCGTTTTTGATAGAAATCATTTTTAACTGATTTAAATTTTTTATACTTTTGTTTGAGCTGTTCTCGATAATTTTTTGACGTGGGTGAGTAGTTACTCATTTGCTAAATATCACCTCAGAAAAAAATATTGAGATTTAAATCGATAATCGTAACATGCTTGTGAATTGAAAAACATAACTATGATAGAATTGATATTTTTACTTTTTATTTGTCACTGAGCTGAGTAAAAGAGAAAGGTTTTTCCCAATTTTTTGTACTAATTTTTTAGAGACATTTCAGACTTTAGTGATATTTACAACCCTGACTTATGCCAATCTATGATTTCAAACTTCAACAAAATTTTTTCCTGTGAGTACAACCTGGAACACAAGAAAACAGAATATTGTTTTAAACCTTTTTTCTGAGTTTTTTGTTCTGATTTCTGAAGAAGGTGTCAAAATAATCGCGCTCGGAGTGTATTTTTTTCTCCTAAAGTTTTTCGATGTTTTAATGTAATTTTTTGATTTTTTTATAGACTGAAACATATTTATGCTATGAGCTCAAGATTTAAAAAAACGTTTCGCAAAAGATCTTTTTCGAGAAAATATAGGTTTTAAAATTGGAAAATTGGGCTACTGTAAAAAGTAAATAATGACTTTTGGGATTTGCAATAAAACGAAAAATTATGGTTTTGTACATAATTTTCTTATTTATTTTTCTATTTAGTAACGCGTTACTAGGACCATTTAGGTTGCCGCAATTTATTTTGGATCGATTTCTGAGTCGGCGTATTTGGCATCTAGGTAACTCATTAAAAAAAAGCATAAGCGTAATGTATTTTTTCCACTAAAGCTTTTCCCAGATCAAACCCCATAATTTTCTGAAAAAGATCTTTGTGTGAACAATTTTTTCTAATTTTTTCAATTTTGAGCCAGAGCATAAATATGTTTAGTCTATGAAAAGCTTGGAAAAAAAATTAAAACATCGAAAACTGTCAGGAGAAAAAACTCCGAGCACAATGATTTTGATATTTTGTTTAGAAGTTTATAAAAAATTTAACATAAAAATCAAATTTTTAAGAAATAATTAGCAAAAAAAAGTGAGTTAAAAAAATTATCGCAAAGAGGGTAAAAAAAATCTGACCTATTTTTTTTTAATCTGTTGTTTTTATTTTATCATTGTCTGATATCTTCTTTTCCACAGCAGTTTGGGTCGCAGGTTGAACTCACTGGAAAAATTGTGTTGAAATTGAGTAAAATCATAGATTAGCATCGATGATTTAACTCTGACCAGTATTGTTTAACATTACTAATTCAGTGCTTATTCAGAGTTGTAAATATCACTTAGGTCGGAGATGCAGAAAACTGTAAAAATGGCAAAAACAATTTGTTTAGTGCTAAGTCAGCCTTGTTGCAACCTTAAATTTTCAAGGAATCAGCAGTTTTGTAAACTTAAGCAAAAATGTTTATATGAGAAAAAATTTCTTCAGAACGTTGCCGTTTCATAATTTAAATCAGCACTGTAGCTTAATTTAGAAAAAAAATGAACTGATTACACTGTGTCGATCTACTAAACAACCTCCCATTATAGTGTATACTACAGAATTGCCACCCCTGTAAATAACTGGAGTAAATTAAAACCACTGCAATTTTTGAGAAATCTAAGCCTGTTAAAAATCTCATTAGTAGTGTTGCAATGCAAAACAAGAGTATAGAATAAAACAAGTATAGATGCATATAAAACAAGAACAGTTGGCCGAGCGGCCTAGAGACAAGTCTCTCACGCCGGTCAACCGGGTTCGAGTCCCCCCATATGCAGACCTTAAAACATGTAGACCCGAGGGGCTATAGCCCCATTTGACCGTTTTTTACTGTTTTTTGGTTCTAATTCGGTTCAGCCTTGATTAAGGCTGACCGCCAAAAAGAGCAATTTGTCTCAAGGACATTACCGACCGGTTCGTTTGGCTAGCTTGCACCAATTTGTTTATTAAAACTGTGGTTTGTGAAAATTATGAAAGTGAGTTGTGTGAAATGTTGGCTTTTAAATTAATGACGATGAATGTATGTATTGCCGAGAATACTACGAGGTAAAACAATTATTTGCCGAGCCGTTTTATACAGTTTTGGAGATAAGAGCGCACATTTTGGCGCCCCACAAGGGATCGTCTCTTGTACACGTCTGTGGAAGATTACAATTTCCGGGACACGAGAGTTTGTCGAGAGTATTCCCGACACGTCTGTTGCAGTCTCTCTGACAGTTTCTCGGACACGTCTGTTGCAGATTGCAGTTTCCTCAACACTAGAATAATATGCAC